GATGTCCCTGGCCTCCAACAAGGGGTCAGCATGGAAACCTGCCCAACCCAGACGGCTGCCCGGGACCCTCAGGGACAAGGCAGAGTGTGCATTGGGGTGGCCAAAAACCCTGTGGTGCTCTTGGAGAGGCTGGATTCTGGCAGGCTGAGGGCTGCCCAGGCAGACTCTCCTCCCCAGGACCAGAGACCCACCTGCCCAGCTGTGGGGACCCAGGACACCTGGGGTCTCTCTGGGGCCTCTCCTGTCAAGGAGTCACGCAGGCTGTGTAAGGGGTCAAGTGAGGAGGAGAGGGAAATCCCTGGTATGGTTACCGTTGTGGGTACCAACTACAGGCTGAGGCCCTGGAAGCTGTCCCAGAGCCCTGTCCCTGCCTCGGGCCGTCTCAGTACAGAAGGGCGGAAACCCCAGGGAGCTCTTCAGTCCCAATCTGTGAAGAGAAGAGGCCTGAGCCCAGCACCGGCTCCCACCACCAAGTCCAAGAAGCGAGCTCTCTTCAGAGGCCCATCCCCTGCTGTTCAGACGCCCAAGGGGTCAAGTGAGGAGGAGAAGAAAATCCCTGGTATGGTTACTGTCGTGGGTACCAACTATAGGCTGCGGCCCTGGAAGCTGTCCCAGAGCCCCGTCCCTGCCTCGGGCCATCTCAGTACAGAAGGGCGGAAACCCCAGGGAGCTCTTCAGTCCCAATCTGTAAAGGGAAGAGGCCTGAGCCCAGCACCCGCTCCTACCACCAAGTCCAAGAAGCGAGCTCTCTGCAGAGACCCATCCCACGCTGTTCAGATGCCTCACCTAAGACCTGGGCTCAGAGTCTCTGGGGCACAATCCCTGGCTTGGGGGCTGGGTAACCCCTCACAGTCTGGAAAGAGAAAGGGTGACCCCTTGCTCTCTAAGAGGAAGAAAAAGCAGCATCGGAGCCAGTAGAGTCAGGGCAGACTCTGGTGCTGATCCCCACGGTGGGGCTCTCAACTCTCCGGCCCTCAGGGCATCAGGTGCCCCTGATCAAAGACTTCTCCCCCAGTGCTGACCTTGCTGGGCCTTAGCTTGATGGGGGACGGTGGGAAAGGGAAGGGTGGGAGGGAGGCTGAACTGGAAGGGAGGGCCTAGGGGTAGGCGGTGGGGAGCAATACCTTGGGGGTCTCCTGTGTAAATCTGAATAAACATAGTTGTGTTGGAAATGCTCTCCGGGCTGCTGCCTCTGTCCTCAGGGCTCTGCTGCTCAGTGGAGGGGGTCTGTGAAGGAGTGCAGAGGAACCGGGAGATGCCAGGCACTGGGGACCCACGGGGGCCAGCCCCACTGGTTCCTCCAGGTGTAGGTTGCCCCTTCAGATGCTCCAGGAACTGACAGATGCTGAGGAAACCCTCATCCCTCCCACCACTCACTCACAAGGCCCCGACTGCTTTAGTTATCAGCATCCCTGGAAAATCCTGGGATGTTGAGAGCTGGCTGGCTCTTGTTCTGCCCCGTGGGAGCTGAGGAGAAGGGAGCTGCCCGCAACATGGACGCGGGGAGAGGCGGTCACTCTTGCTTAACCCTCATCAGGAAGAGCTCAGGCCCTGGGCTGAGGGGAGATGTCGAGGCATCCATCCACATGGGTGTGTTTGGGATACAACGGTGAGTGGGGAGCAGGGGGAGTCCTTCTGCCGGTTTCTAGACAGGAAAGACTCTTGTCCAACTGGCGGAAGCAGATGCTCCTTGCAGTGGCCACAGGGACTGGCCTCAGGGGCACTTGGGGTCCTGCATGGAGCCCCCCACAGCTACGATTCCCTTCCCATATGATTAGTGAACTCTTGTGTGGAACTGATGCAGATACAGATTTGAACCCAAGATGTGGATGTTGCAGTGAGCCGTGATAGCACCATTGTACTCCACCCTGGGCAACAAGAGCAAAACTCCACCTCAAAAATAAAAATAAAAATAAATTAGCTGGGCTAATCCCAGCTGCTCCAGAGGTTGAGGCAGGATAATCACTTGAACCTGGGAGGCGGAGGTTGTGGTGAGCCAAGATGGAGCCACTGCACTCCAGCCTGGGCGGAAAGAGCAAAACTCCTACCAAAAAAAAAGAAAACAATAATTATCCAGGCATAGTGGCATGCTCCTGTAGTCTTAGCTACTTGGGAGGCTGAGGCAGGAGAATTGCTTGAACCCGGGAGATGGCCACCATCCCACCCAGCTAATTTTTCTGTATTATTTGTAAACATGGGGTTTCACTACATTGGCCGGGCTGGTCTCACAACTCCCGATCTCGGGCAATCCACCCACCTCAGCCTCCCAAAGTGCTGGGATTACAGGCGTGAGCCACCATGCTCAATACATCTCTTTCAATCAGCTTCTGCGCAGCAAAAGAAATAAACAGAGCAAAGAGACAACATGTTGAATGGGAAATGATGTGTGCAAACTATTCATGACGAAGGACTAAAATCCAGAACACGTAATGAGCTCAAATAACCAACAATCAATAACAACAAATAATCCCATTAAAAAATGAGCGAATGACATCAGAAACATGCAAATGGCCAACTGATAGATAAAAAAATGCTCACATCAGTGATCACCAGGTGCAAATCAAAACTACGAGATACCTACCACCTTACCACAGTTAGGATGTCTATTCTTAAAAATACAAACAGCAGATGCTGACATGATGCAGAGAAAAGGGAACTCTTACCCACTTAGGTGGGACTGGAAATTAGTAACGTCGTTATGAAAACCACTATGGAGATTTCTCAAAACACTAAAAACGAAACTACTACATGATCCAGCAATTGCACCACTGGCTATTTAACCAACATAAAAGAAATCAGTATATCAAATCAGGATACACTCACATGGTTATCACTGCACTACTGACAACAGCAAAGGAAGCAACCCAAATATCCACCAATGAGCTGACAAGGAAAACGTGGCATATATACAAATGGAATGCTATTCAGCCAGAAAGAAACACGAAAGCACGTTGTTTGCAGCAACATGGATGAAGCTGGAGGTCATTATGTTAAGTGAAATAAGCAAGGTCAGCCATAGAAAGAAAAACATCACACATTCTCACAGACATGTGGGAGTTAAAATCAACAACGACAACAAAAAAAAGTTGACCTCATGGAAACAGAGAATACAATGACAGGTATCAGAGGCTGGGAAGGGATGGGGGTGAGGAAGAGAGGCTGGTTAATGGGTACAAACGTACAGTTAGAAACAGTACAGTTTACAGGACAGTGAACTCTATTGTTCTATAGCAGAGTACCATCACCATAGTTAGGCTGGAGTGCAACGGCGCAACGTATTTGCACTATGTTAGCAAATAGCTATTGTATATTTCAAAGTAGCTAAAAGAGAAGGCTAGAAATGTTACCAGCACACAGAGATGATAAATCTCGGCCAGGTACGGTAGCTCACGCCTGTAATCCCAGAACTTTGGGAGGCTGAGGCAGGCAGATCACCTGAGGTGATCTGGCCAACATGGTGAAACCCTGTCTCTACTAAAAATACAAAAATTAGCCCAGCATAGTGGTGTATGCCTCAATCCCTTTAAAAAAAAAAAAAAAGGCTGCATGATGAATCAGGTATGCGGCTTTGGCCCAGTACGGAGTGGAGCTCAATTTCAACCCAGATGCTTCTGACTTGGAAGGCCATTCTTCCAAGCATCTTTTTTCTAGTATGTTAGATATACGTTCTGACTCCAGGTCCAACTCCAGAGACTACACTGTTTTCACAATACCATGTCTTCTAAACGGAAAAAAATACCTGCACAAAATAGTTGATTCTCTTCTTCCAATTTCTTTTCATTCAGGAAAAGGGAAAGAAAACACATTTAATGAAGCATCCTATAAATATAAACAAATACAGTGTTAAGATTTAGATGCTTTCTCAGTAAACATTATTTTAAATGATAAACCAAAAGAATGTATATCTAAGGGCTGGGCGCAGTGGCTCAAGCCTGTAGTCCAGCACTTTGGGAGGCCGAGGCGGGTGGATCACGAGGTCAAGAGACTGAGACCATCCTGGTCAACATGGTGAAACCCCGTCTCTACCAAAAATACAAAAAGTTAGCTTGGCATGGTGGCGCGTGCCTGTAATCCCAGCTACTCAGGAGGGTGAGGCAGGAGAATTGCCTGAACCCAGGAGGCGGAGGTTGCGGTGAGCCGAGATTGCGCCATTGCACTCCAGCCCGGGTAACAAGAGCGAAACTCCGTCTCAAAAAAAAAAAAAGACACCAATAATCAACAAACAAATGGCATTGCAATGGCTGTTTCAGGAAACATCCATTTACACTGTTTCTTGGATTTCAGGCATAAAAACATGACTGAAGACATATACCGGCCCTATTGCCTTGACAATTCATAACCATTGTTAACAGTTACCATTTCGCTACTCAGAAGATTATAAAGAAACTGATTTTTTTTAGCCTGGGGAGAAATGCCAAATGTGGGTGAAGGGGAGAAGAAAAGCAAAGCACACTGCCATGTGTGTACCTACGCAACTGTCTTGCATGCTCTGCTCATGTACCCCAAAACCTATAATCCAATAAAAAATTAAAAAAAAAAAAAAAGAAACTGATTTTGCGTAAGACTCTACGATCTACTACCTATAACTCTGACATACACATATCGTACAACCTTAATATATAATTATAAAATCTGATAACCAACGTTCTGTAAATTACCAGCTATTACAACATTTTGCTGTTTGCCTGTTAACCAAGCTGAGGTGGGGAAGGGGAAGTTGGAAGAAGCCTCATTTCACCTGCCCTTTCCAAAATTTCACTTCAAGAGTGTTCAAAAACTCAGTATGCCCTGGGATCAATCTCCAAGTTCGTCTAATTTTCACTGCTTAACAAAAGCGGTGTAGAAAGCAATTACTGTACCCTCCATCAATCTTTTCAGATTGCACAGAATTCCTTCCAGAAAATTCCAATAGAAAAAAAGACAGGTATTCCCGTTTTAGTATGTTTTTGTTTGTTTAGCTTCAAACAAAGCGCGCGCTAAGGGGCCGGCAGCGGCCAGAAAGTGGGGACAGGAGGATGGCGGCCATGTTGGCGCGGGGCGCCAAAGATGGAGTGACGGAGGACTACGGGCCGGCGAACAACGAGCGCGTGCCCACCCCGGGGCCCAGGCCCGCCCCACCCGGGTCCCCCCCGCGGCCCGCCGGCACGGGGCGCAGTGTGGGCGCCACCCGACGGACAAAGCTGCACCGGGCTCCGCGCGGGCCGCGCTCACCTGCGCCCCTGGCCCACCCGCAACCCGCACCCCCTCAGGGGCCTGCAAGACCCACAGTCGCCCCGCACGAACCTTACCTACTAGCCGCTGATGCCGCCGTCCACAAGCCCGCGGTTTCCGCCGTCGCTCGTTCGCGCTCTCGCCGGCCCCAGCCGGAGCCAGAAGGCACCTCCCGGCCCCCGCTCCCTCACCGCGTACGCCACCGGCTCCCCAGCAGTCAGAGGAGCCGCGCACTGCGCCAGACTAAGTGCAACAGACGCGCCGGCGCACTGCGCCAGACCAACTCCAACCGACGCCCAGGCGCCGGGCGCCGACGGCCCACTACGCAGGCGCGATGGAGCGGGTAGGTGGGGCGGTGGAGCGGGGCGGGGCGCGGCAATGGAGGCGGTGGCTAAGGTGGGGCCGGAGCTCCGGACTTCCGGGTGCGCGCCGAGAATGGGCGTCGGCAGGCCTTCCGAGCCCTGCAGCCCGACGGGGCGGAAACTTCTACAGGCGGGCAGGCAGCCAGAGAAGGACTTCGTTTTCGCGCGGTAGTACTTACATGAAAGGACAGGGCCGGGCGCGGTGGCTCACGCCTGTAATCCCAGCACTTTGGGAGGCCGAGGCGGGTGGATCAGGAGGTCAAGAGATCGAGACCATCCTGGTCAACAAGGTGAAACCCCGTCTCTACTAAAAATACAAAAATTAGCTGGGCATGGTGGCGCGCGCCTGTAGTCCTAGCTACTCGGGAGGCTGAGGCAGGAGAATTGCTTGAATCCAGAAGGCGGAGATTGTGGTGAGCCGAGATCGTGCCATTGCCCTCCAGTCTGGGTAACAACAGCGAAACTCCATGTCAAAAAGAAAAAAAAAAAAAAGAAAAGAAAAGAAAGAAAGAAAAAGAAAAGAAAGAAAGAGAAAGAAAGAAAGTGCAGTGGAGGAAATGCATATTTCTCATTCACCACCGTCCTCTCCTGAAGCAGTCAGCATAACCATTTAACACCAAGCAGTCCAGGAAATATTTTCACACCCTCCTGACTGCTGACTGGCTCTGATGACTGAACAAGTCCAATGTTGACAGAGAGGCAGACTGAATTTCTCCACCTTTTTTGGAAATGTGGGTATAAGTGATAGAGTCTTTGCTTTGTCTTCAATCTAAAATAACTCATTTAAATGTTTATCTTTCTGTTTTTTTTTTTTTTAAATGGAGTCTCACTCTGTCACCCAGGCTGGAGTGCAGGGGCAATCTCAGCTCACTGCAAGCTCCACTTCCAGGTTCAAGTAATCCTCCCATCTCAGCCTCCCTAGTAGCCAGACGACAGGTGTGTGCCACCACATATAATAATTTTTGTATTTTTAGTAGAGACGGGGTTTCACCATGTTGGCCAGGCTAGCTCAAACCCCTGACATTAGATGATCTTCCCACCTTGGCTTCCCAAAGTGCTGGGATTATAGGCATGAGCCAGTGCACTCAGCTTTTTTTTTGAGACAGGGTCTCACTCTGTCACCCAGGCTGGAGTGTAGTGGCATGATCATGGCTCACTGCAGCCTCAATGTCCTTGGCTCAAGCAATCTTCCTGCTTCAGCCTCCTGAGTAGCTGGGACTACAGGCATGTGTCACCATGCCTGGCAATATTCATGTTTTTTGTAGTGATGGCTTTTTTCCATTTTGTCCAGGCCGACCTCTAACTCCTGGGCTCAAGTGATCCTCCTGCCTCAGCCTCCCAAAGTGCTGGGATTACAGGTGTGAGTCACTAAGCTCCACCCAAATGTTAATCCTTAAATAGAGAATAAATATGATTTTTACCAAGTTTTGGTCTGGATTCACCCACACAGATTACCCCTAAGGAAGGCTGACTCGACCGAGTACCTAGTGTGGCAACAGCAGGCACTGTCACTGAGCCCAGATATGGTGCCACTTGCCTGCAAATCAACAAGCCATGTGGTGGCAGGATGATTACATTGGACCTTTCCCCGCTGGGGAAATAAATGTGTCTTCTTTGGGACAGACCTGTGTTCTTGGTGTTGATCTGCCTTCCTTGTCTGTAATGTTTCTGCTTTACTCACTATCAATAGTGACTTCATCTACCACATCATATTGGTCCTAATCAGGAAAGTCATTTCACAGCAAAAGAAGTGGAGCAGTGGGCTTGTGCCTACTTGAATCCAACGCTTTTACCTTATTCTCTATTACCCCTAAGTGCCAGCTTAGGGCAGTGGCATGACTTCCTGAAGACTCTGTTAGGCCATCAGTTAGGAGACACACCCCAGACGCATGGATGTTCTATCTTAGAGGAAGCAGTAGGTGCTGTGAAGCAGAAACCCGTATTTGTGTGCTTCTTATTTAGCCAGAATATATGGATCCAGGAGTCAAGTTTAGAGGCATGAATGACTTCCCTCACTATTGATAGGGACAGGAGGCAGAGAAGTTCGGGGCAGAAAAGAGTGGGGTAGCTAGCGAGGGTAGATACCTACCCTTCACGCCTGGAACTGCGATCCAAAGTGAGAACTTTACATCCTTGTTTTCCTGCTCAAATACTGCCTTTTCCAAAACCACGCCTGCCCTGCCCCCATTGTGTACCCATGAAAACAGCAGGCTCCACTGGCAGAGAGCAGAGAAGGGGAGAAGAAAAGAAACCTCTGAACATCAGAGAGAAGCAGCCTGACTTCAGAGGGACAGCTTGGTGGCAGGGCAGGACTTTGGAGAAGAGTGGTCTGGAGATGGCTGGACTTCAGGGGAGGAATCCCTTCCCGCTCCATCCTCTTTCCCAGTTGAGTCACTGCCATCAGCAATCAAATCCTCTTCATTCACCTCCCTTCAATTTGTGTGACCTGATTTTTCCTGGACACCAAACAAGAGCTCGGGTGCCACAGGTGCCGATGCTAAAGGCTGTCACCCTGACTCTCTGTCCTCACTGGTGGAAAGCAACTGCCTCATGTGAAAAGTTAGAGGGCCCACCAAGCTGTTTAACGCTGAGGCCTCCCATGGATGGCAAAGCTAAAAGAGCGCACTATAATGCATGGCCTCTGGGGCTGTGGGCTTCATGAGTAGTCCTCCACTAGTCGTTGCCCTGGGCCTTGCATAAAGTTTTTCTGCTGTTGACACTCAGAAGCACTCCCCCTGGCTTTTGCACCCACTCACCTGCGTACTCCCCATCCCACGAAGGGTTGAGAGCTGTGGGCCGAGTAAGCGAGGCAAAGGGGTCAGGGAAGATTCCCTGTTTCACTATTACAACTAAAACCCATTTGCAGAATTCTTGCTTCCTATCTGTACAATTTTGAGCTTTGCTGGTTTGGAGGTTTTTGTTTTAAGGGAAGAATGCTTCTATGGGGGGACATAAAAGTTTCCACTGAATTGGAAGCTGAGACTTCCAAATATCCTTTCAGTTTACTTATGTCCTTGAACGAACAGACAACCAAATACTAGAAGAAGAAAAGAAAAGAAGAAAAGTAAGAAAGAAGAAGAGAAAGAAAAGAAGGGAGGGAGGGAAGGAAAGAAAAAGACAGGACCACTGAGAATCCATACTTTTCAGGAGTAAAGATTTGGGTCATCCTTATCAGGTAAAGAATCGTGACAAACTGAGCTTCTGTCTGAGGGCAAAGAAAAGATGAAATGAGTAATGAAAGAATAAAGATGGAAGAAGAAACTTGTATTTTGTGATGAGTTACAGAAAGGAGAATTATAGTGGCTATGCATATTTTCTTCTCTTGCTTTGTGTGTATGTGTGTGTTTGTGCACGTGTGAGCACAGTCGTGTGTGTATGGTATATAGATTCTCAATGAATGTATGTTAGCGATTTTCTTCTTTTCTCTTTTCCTTCCCTTTCGTATTTTATACAAGTTTTGTTGATGGCTAATTTTACAATGTAGTCATTAGACGACAGCACGTTCAGATGGCATTATATCAAATCTGAAGAATAACTAATACAGCTGAGAGATGAATGGCATGAATTCCTTCCAGAGATGGACACAATGAATGTTGGGACTTTGCGTCTCTTCTTGAGGAAAAGGTGAGAATGTCTTTCTTCGTATGAAGGACAATAACATCTTGTTAGAAATACAGAGTTGTTTTTCTTTCTTTTCTCTTCTTTCATTCATTCTTTCTTTCTTTCTCCCTCCTTCCCTTCCTCCCTCCATCCTTCTCTTCTTTCCTTTCCACTTTTCTTTCTTTTCTTTTTTTCCTCACTCTGTTGCCCAGGCTGGAGTACACTGGCATGATCTTGGCTCACTGCAAACTCTGTCTTCTGGGTTCAAGTGATTCTCCAGCATCAGCTTCTTGAGTAGCTGGGATTACAGGCGCTGGCCACCACACCAAGCTAATTTTTTTGTATTTGTAGTAGAGACAGGGTTTCACCATGTTGGCCAGGCTGCTCTTGAACTCCTGTCTTCAGGTGACTTGCCCACCTCAGCCTCCCAAAGTGCTGGGATTACAGGCGTGAAGCACTTCATCCAGCCATGAGTTGTGTTTCTTGTTGCATGACAGCTCAAATATTTGCAGAAGGGTGTGTATGGACGCTGAATAGCCGAAGGGGTGGGTCATCGCCAGTTAACTAAGCTGTTATTATCTTTGCTTGAAGCCTGCCCTTCTACATTCCGTTTTGTGATGCTAATGTTGAATCTTCAAACTATATTCATTTTGCTGGTAGCTCTGTTAGATTCTGCCAATAAGGGGCATGAGAGAGAGAGAGAGAGAGAGAGAGAGAGAGGAGAGAGAGAGAGAGAGAGAGAGAGAGAGAGGGAGAGAGAGAGAAAGAGAGAGAGAGAGAGAGAGAGAGAGAGAGAACCTGTGAGGCTGCAGCAGGCCTCTGTGAGGCTGGAGGGAAAGAAGAGGTTGCTTTTTCTTGTTCTCTCCCTAAGAACTTTTTGACTTCTTCCTGTTCTGGTGGGTTTGTCACCCTGACAATGGCAACTTATTTCTGAAAGCTGAATTTGCGACCCAGACTCTTCATGCTGCCTCTGCGACTTTAGCATCACCTGGCTGTGCCCCTTGAGAGGTCCGAGCTTCAGCTCCAGGAAGCCCCTCCACTGAGCTTCTAAACTTGTCATTTCAACCATTCCTCTCTCGTTCCCCCAAACCTAGATTTGCCACTTCCATGCTTTCTTAGTGTTCTATCCCCCTTTTCTGTTAGCAAGTTAACACTTTTCTACTTGATTCACAATTCTGGATGTTGAGTTTTCTGTGATGTGGGACTTCCATCTCCACTCAAGATGAAGTAACAGGTGCTGAATTTGACTACTTATCTGAAGCAACCAAAAAACCCAGACAAAATGTATGAAACAAATGGTGTTCAGGACACTGGAAATCAGCTAGTGAAGGACAGTGATGCCTGAGAGAAGGGAAATAGTGGAGATGATTGCCCAGCTTACTGTCTTGAGGGTTTTCAGGCTGCAGTGTAGGGAGGGGAACCCGTGCACAGCCCAGGGATCTCCTTGAGCTGCAGAAATGGAGCTGGGAGTTGGCCATGTGGTGGAGTTTGCAAATAGAACATCAGAAAGAACTTCTCTTTGAGAGACCTAAAGAGAATAAAAGTACAAGCCAAGGTCTGGGAGAAAATATTTGCAAATTGAATATCTGATAAAGGATATTCAAAGTCCAAAATATATAAAGAACTTTCAAAATTCTTTAGCCCAAAATATATAAAGAACTGTCAAAGCTCAATAATTAGGGTACAGTCCAGTAAAAATGGGCAAAAGATTTGAACAGACCCTTTACCAAAGAAGATATACAGGTAGCAAATAAGCCCACAAAGAGATGCTAAACATCAACGGTCTTTAGAAAAATGCAAATTAAAACTACAATGAGATACTAGAACACATATCATTATGTCTAGCATTTAAAAGACTGATCATAGCACATGTTGGGGAGGATGTAGAGGAACTGGTGTTCTCACCCTGCTTGTGGAAATGTTAAATGGTATACGTTGGAAAAAAGTTTTTTCTGAAGTGAAACATATACTTTTTTTTTTTTTTTTTTTTGGAGACGGAGAGTCTCCCTCTGTGCCTAGGCTGCAGTGCAGTGGCACGATTTCTTGGCTTACTGCAACCTCCGGCATCTGGGTTCAAGTGATTCTCATGCCTCAGCTTCTTGAGTGGCTGGGACTACAGGTGTGTGCCACCATGTCCTGCAAATTTTTGTATTTTTAGTAGAAACACGGTTTCGCTGTGCTGGCCAGTCTGGTCTCAAACTCCTGGCTTCAAGCAATCTGCTCACCTCCGGCCTCCCAAAGTGCTGGGATTACAAGCGTGAGCTGCTGCGCCCAGCCTTGAAGTTAAACATGTACTTGTCATATGACCCAGCAACTCCACTCCCAGGAGAAATGAAAGTGCATGTCCTTACAAAGACTTAGGCCAAATGTTCACAGCAGCTTTATTGGTAACAACAGCAACAACCAAACTAGAAACAACTCCAATATCCATCTACAGGCAAATGGATAAACGGTCTGTGGTATATGCATACAATGGAATACTGTTGAGAATAAAAAGGAATAAACCATTGAAACATGCAGAACATGGATAAGTCTCAGAATGATTATGCTGACTGAAAGAATCCAGACCAATAAAGAGTACATATTGTATGGCTCCATCTATTATACAATTCTAGGAAATGCTAACTAACCTACAGAAAGCAGATCAGCAGTTGCTTAGAATGGAGAATGTAGGTAGGGGCACCAGCGGAATTGCAATGTGATTTCCTTAGAGGATATTTATTATCTTCATTGTGGTGATGGTTTCTCGAGTACACATGTACATCAAAACTTATAAAGTTGTATACATTAAATGTATGGTTTACTGTATGTAAATTATACATCAACAAAGGCGTTAAAAATGGAAAATAAATCAGAATGCTGTTAGGATGGTGCTGCTCGACGAAACTGTACAGATGTTTCTCTTAGAAGCCAAGAAATCTACTTCTCTCCTGCATCTATGGCCTTGAACTGAACTTTCACTAGAGTACTTTCAGCTTGGGGCAAAAAATATGTGGCTGAGTGTGGAGAAAGATTTTGTTACTTCCTCCTGTGGCCTATATGTGTGCAGAGAGGAAGAAATAGAGTTCACAGTCATAGTCCTCAAATGAAGAAGGAGTAAAGGAGTAATAGGGTCACAGCCGGGACAGGCCCCAAGAATAAACAGGCAAGAGCTTATATAGGCAGATAGGCATCCTTCTGTCCATAACATGCTTAGAATAGGTGCAGTGGTGGCAGAGCAGAGGGGTGTGCACTTCTCTGTATAACATGCCCTTTCACTTCCGTGTATCAGAAGACTTTTTACATTCAAGGTCGTTTTCAGAGAGAACAAAATGAAACGTCCTGGTAGCATTGATAAGGACATAAAAGGAATGGGTTGCATGGCTCATCAAGACCCATTGAGGCTGGGCGTTGTGGCTAATGCCTGTAATCTTAGCACTTTGGGAAGTTGAGGCGGGCAGATCACTTGAGGTCAGGAGTTCGAGACCAGCCTGGCCAAAATGGTGAAACCCTGTCTCTACTGAAAAAAGAAAAATGAGCAGGCATAAGTGGCAGGTGCCTGTAATCTTAGCTACTCAAGAGGCTGAGGCAGGAGAATCACTTGAACCTGGGAGGCGGAGGTTGCAGTGAGTCAGGATGGCACCACTGCACTCCAGCCTGTACGACAGAGTAAGACTCCGTCTAAAACAAAACCAAAACCAAAACAACAACAACAGACGATCCATTGAGACAGTGGGTTTGTCTGTGAGAAGCAAGGGCCATCTTCCCTTCCACTTTTCATTACCACATACTGCGATTGTTGGTATGGTGGATGCCTAGTGTGTGTAGACAGAAAAAAAGAGAGAGGCGCTACACAGAGTGGTTAGAAACAGATAAGAGAAACCACAAGAGATAAACAGAATCAGGTCTCCAGTTTTGGTTTTTTTTTTTTCAAGTTAGAAAAGGGCTTAGCATCTGGACAGAACAAAGAAGTATTGGAAATTCCGTGGTCAAAGATGCTTCATGTAATGACTGATTTTTTTTTTTTTTAAGGCAAGAATCTGGTAACGTGATAGTAACTAGCAGGGAGAGGTGTAAAAGAAACATATGAAAATGATATTATATCACTGGGCTCCTTTGTCAGTGTGTCAGGTTATTACCTCAAATGGCAGTATAACTATTATTGATGTGTAGAATTTTGCCTTTAAAAAAATGCTTGAGAGCAAAATCACCTGAGCTATTCATAACACATTAGCATCCATGTCCTTTAGATCACCAGAAACACACAAAAATAAGAAAGCATCACTTGAATTTGGTTACTGTTAGGATACACAAATCAAAATAGCATATAAGACAATTCATATTTAAGTCAAAAAAATTTTTTGGCCTGACTCTATGAATTTATGAAATTGTGTAAAGGCAAGGAAAAGGCATTTAAAAAATGTGTCTGGCCTGGGCGAGGTGGCACACGCTTGTAGGTGGATTGCTTGAGCCCAGGAGTTTGAGACCAGCCTGGGCAACATGGAGAAAAACTGTCCCTATTAAAAATACAAAAATATTTAGGTCTGGTGGTGTGCATCTGTAGTTTTAGCTACTTGGGAGGCTGAGGCAACAGGATGGCTTGGGAGGCAGAGGTTGCAGTGAGCTGAGATTGCGCCACTGTACTCCAGCCTGGGTGATGATAAAGTGAGACCCTGTCTGGAAAAAAAACACGTCTCTGAGTTGGTTTCAAGGAATTGCATAAATGAATACCTGGGAAATGCTTTGGAGTATTGTGGAGTATATATAGGAAGGCATCTTAAATGTTTACCAAGTTTGAGAGGTCAACAATAATAATAATAGCATTTTCAGTTCATGGAAGATTGGTAATTTCTGTTCACCAAAATAGCATGTATTTAATTATATTATAGATTAAAATATCAGAGTGCATGGAAATAGTACTAAAACTGGTAATCTTTTTAAGATTACACACGTTTTGGAGGGCAAAATATATGGTGGATTACTGTGGCCATTCAGCATCTGAAACCCCTACTTTAGGAGAATTCCCTACATTTATAACCTGGGTGGCAGAGGCATAAAAGTCCCAGATGCCTGCTTTCCCTTGCTTGGTAGTTAGTATGCAGGCATATAAACTGATTTCACCATTCGGATCTAGCTGCACCAGATTTTCACCTGGAAGCTAGTAAAGAAAAACAAAACAAATGGTGGTATCTGCAAAGCAAAAACAATAACCAAACCTAGGGATGATGGAGCTCTCTCTCACTTTGGATGAGCCAACTGTAATGGTTGTTGGGAAACAAAGTTCCAGGTAGAGAACTTGTAGCCAGGCTGTTGGGATGGCAGTTGTGAGTTCTGACTCCCTGCGGAGAACCACTACTCTTTTCAATTAACTTATCTAATTAGAAAAAAGCTAATCACTATTCAATATACAAAATCTGTAGAATATACAAAATCTGTAGAATCTGTATGTATGTGTGTATATACACACACATAGGTTTTGTTTTTAAAATTGGGATCATACCCTAGTTTTATGTCTTTTAATCCAGTTTTTGATCTTTTCTATGCTTTTCTTCGACCATGCAATTCTAAATAACTACATCATTTAACTATTCTTCTACTGAATATTTAGACTCTTGAATATTTTGCTGTCAGAAGTTTCAAAGAATACTCTTATAAATATACTTTACTATACCTCTAATTGTTGCTTTAGGATAAATTCGTAGATTGCAGATTACTAAAACTCAGTGAAATCTGAGTCCTTTTAATTCTCTTCATACAGTTATAAAATTGTTCCCCAGAGATAGCTGACCCACTCTTGAACCACCAATGTGTTTTGAATATAAAGCACTGGCACTGAACTTTAATAAAACTGCAATGTCAGACATGAAAATATTTTCAAAACTAATGACTATAGTAGCTGTTATGAGAGCATGCTACTGTCCTGACATGGCTATGTGCTTTAAAGACGTCATCACATCGATTGATTGAAGGAGTGAGTCAGGGTCTCGCTCTGTCACCCAGGCTAGAGTGTAATGGCATGATCATGGCTCACTGCAGCCTCGATCTCCCAGGCTTAAGCAATTCTCCTGGGTAGATGGGACTATAGGCATGCATCACCACACCTGGCTAATTTATTTTTATTTTTAGTGGAAATGGGATCTGGCTACATTGTCCAGGCCGATCTCAAACTCCTGAGCTCAAGCAATCCTCCCGCCTTGGCCTCCCAGAGTGCTGGGATTACAAGTATGAGCCACTGCACCTGGCCGACATTACCACACTGAATCCTCACACTGAAACTTTTTACTGGTACTTTCAACCTCATCAATAAAATGGGGTGACGTGGCCAAATATTTTGCTGAAGGTCACATAACTCATGAAATGTAGACTGAGGAATCAAGCATTGTCTTTTTTTTTTTTTTTGACTTGAAAGTTCATTTTATTTTCTCTAAACCATTGTAACCCAAGAACTTAAATCCTTTTATCAGTTTTGAAGTGAGTACTAGGGAGGAAGGAAGTATAAGTGAGTTGGAAGCAGTAGAGGTCAGATGGAGAAAGAGTTAAAAAGCTTAGTAAGTCTTGGTTAAAAGAATTTACGAACGGACAAAACACAGTGTTAGCAGGGTGTTTCAACCGATGAGTATTTATTCAAAGCCAGAGGTGCACCAGGCACAGCTGTCCACTAGGGTAACAGATACAAACCATGTAACCAATTCACTTATTAGCTTATCTGATTAAGTAAAATACATTTCATAGAAATGGTTATCAAATCTATTGCAGATAAAAACAGAATATTCTTTATACTTACAGGATCTTATAATACCCTAAACAATTATTAATAAAAACCAGCCAACCCATACAGTAAATAGCAAACCACCAGTTATTTTATTTTAGTCAGCAAAGGAGAAAAACATACAAATCTCATGCTGAAATAGATTTTAGCATTACTGAATGCTGAATACAGACATCCTGTTTCAAAACTACTAACATAATCCACTTACAATCTTAAAAATTCAGTGTTTTTTATCCTGCATTAAATCACTATGATATCTTTTGGCTCAAAAATTAGGTTTGGTTTCAAAAATAAGTTTAATTTAGTACTTCAGTCACATGCCTCACAGATTCTTGAACAGGACTGGGCAAGAATCAGTCCAATTAACTATTAGTTACAGCAAGAAAGCAAAACATAAACAGAATGTTTAATCCACCTTGCTTGATATTCTTACCAAAATTGAATTGAGAAATTAAGATACACAGGTGATTTAAACCAGAACATAACAGCAGAACTGAAAGAAAAGACAAAATGTAGATGTTACTTGTTTGAAGCAAAGCTGTCCATTTAGGGCCATGTATTGCCTTTTTGAGACTCATGACTAATTCCTGAAAAGACCACATTGAGTTTGTGGATATACGATGTATCCTTTAGTTTGAACGTCGTTATGAGGGATGTAAGGGTGAGGCAAGAGGGTTGGAAGGACTAAAAAGGCACAGGGTGGAGTGTTTGCTGATGCCATCATGGTAATTATCCAACAGAGAATCCGTTGGGGGCGCTTCCTGAGACCTCCAGAGATGGATCTATTTTCTTCAGGCAGCAGCAGCAGCAGCAGCAAAAACTTCCTCAGAGAGGCAAGGTCAACTTTTATTGCACAAGAACCAAAATTATTTCCCTCCCCCATTTTCTGAGCTGGAGACCTCCACATGCAATGTCTGGATTCTCATCCATTTGCGCCTCTGACCAGCAGAGCGCGCTCAAACAAAACGCCTCGGGATGCACTTTCTTCAAAGGGAAACATGAGGTATACTGATGGCTCAAGCAATCTGGTCAGTCACCATTCTCAAGCAGCTTCTGTAAGTTATTCTGTATCTTGAAATAAAAGAAAAGAACCTCCTATTATTAAATAGAATGCAGTATATTAAGGGCATATTTGCTATAGTCTATATGGTGTTCTAGATTATTTCACCTACACAAGGGTTAAATTTAGGTGAGGCAAATAGATGCTTTTTCATAAACTAGAACTGTTTGACAATCCACTTTTTCTTTGAGACGGGGCTGGCTCTGTCACCCAGGATGGAGTGCGGTGACATGGTCATGGCTCACTTCAGCCCTGACTTCCTGAGCTCAAATCCTCCTCCCACCTCAGCCTCCCAAGTAGCTGGGCCTTCAGGTGTACACCATCATGCCTGGTTAATTTTTGTACTTTTTGTATAGACAAAGTTTCATCATGTTTCTCAGGCTGATGTAGAACTCCTGGGCTTAAGTGATCCTCCTGTGTTAGCCTCCCAAGGTATTGGGATTACAGGTGTGAGCCACCATGTATGGCTGACAATCCAATTTAAAATGAGAAAACAGAGGGCTTAAAAGAATGGTGGAAAGATGAAAATGTCAGTAGAGACTGAGATAAATGAGATGGAAGAAAAAGAACAAGGAACCGGCAACACCAGTGTGACCCAAATGCATTCGAAGACAATGGGAAATTGGGCTTTACAGAGCCCATTTGATGGTTTTAATCAGACAAATGCACATAATCATGTTGAACACTCCTGTTATTCCAATTATATATTATTCTTTTACATTTCCAAAAGGTTGTGGATTTCACAGGGACAGAGACCACTCATGCCAGATGTTTGGATCTTAAGATGGGTCCAATGCTAGACATCAAAAGTGTTCTCAGTAAATGACTATTGAATAAAGGCACTTTTAAGAATTCAGATCAAGAAATTCTCAACAACCAGCTCTGTGATGGGATCAAAAGAAAGAACATATTGTTTTGGAGGGGAACAGTCTGTGATGTACTATGGGTGTTCTCAGGTGAGGGAGGAGGAAGGGGATCCGATATGTAAGTGCCAGGAACGGCATGCCTGCTCCTGAGCCACGCAACACCACAGAGACATGCTTTGCCCCTGAAACTGAGGGTCACGGAGCCGAAGGAGCGGATGAATTATGTGGGTAGTAAGCGGTAGAACACGGATAAGAACAATGGTCTGACTCCAAAATTTATGCTCTCTCTGCTCTGCTGTTCCACCATTAATTTCACTTCCAGAAGTAAGAAAAATAAGTCTTCTTTCATTGCCTTCTTCCTCCACTTTCCTGCTTTGTTTCTTCCTCACCTATCCCTGAAGACCACGGATAAATGGACAAGCAGGAGTGGGAGGTAGAAAAAGGAATAAAAAAGAACCGACATCCAAAATGACACACACACAGAAAAGCCAAAAGTCAAACAAAGGAGGGAAATCAGCAATGTATAGAGGAAGACCCAAATGGCCAATAAATATATGAGATGTTCAGCCTCAGTCCTAATTAGGAAAATACAAGTAAAAACCATAATGAGATCCAACTTTACACTATCTGACTGGTAGTGGGAGGCCTGAGTGGGTTAGGATGGTGCCCGTGGGAAGAAACTTTGAGGAGACATTTGAAGACACAGTTCACTGCATTTGCCAACTAGTCAATCAGTGGCAGGTGAAAAGGAGGAGTTAAAAATGCTTCTTAGATTTCCAGTGAGGATGACTGAAAGAGCAGTGATGCCATGAACAGAAATAGGGAAGTTATAAGCAGAGAAAGATCATGAGGCTTAGACATCACCGGCCCCTGAAGACGAGAAGCAACTGCTGGTATGGAATATAAAGGGCTGAGCCACGTCTCAGACCTCCACAGCCTGGGGCTGCTATTTCACAGGCAGGCTGTGCTGTGCTAGTGCCCAACTGCCTCGGAGGAGAAGTGCAGACAAATCGAAAAGAGCACGGGTGTGGCCTGGTACCTCTTTTTTATTACTTAGATTCTTTTGAGCAATGTGTGCAACTTATAACTTTTTAGAACATCAGCATGTGCATTTTAACCCCAAATCCACTTTTTACCGAATCAGTTTCTCCTTTGAGACAAAGGTGGTTTACACTGGTGCTCCCGTAAGCCTCCCTGGCCTCCCTGCTAGGTTGTCTGAACCCTGCACAAGACCTGCAGCTGTTGGCCTGCTGTGAACAAGCCCTTCTGTTTTGAGTTCCCTGATTACAGAATGTGCTGTCCTGGCCAGGCCTGGCGGGAGAGTGGAAAGAAACACAAAAGAAGGCGGCAGGATCCCGTGTGTTTCTGATCCAAAGAAGATCATTGGTCTGTCAGAGTGAACAAAATTGAAAATACCATTCCATTCTCTGGGTTGCATGAAAGTCAAACGTTTGTAAGCATTTCCCTACCAAAAAAATGGTTTATCTTTAATTCTCAGAACCTAATGTTTTAGAAAGGAAAAGAAGCTAACCCATAGCTTCTCTAGGTTGATTTTGGATGTAAAGAACTTTCCACATAGAATGATTCAATATGAATCCTCTGACCTGACTTTGCTTAAAACATAAGTTTGGAAACTCCTTTGCTCTCAATACTTCAGCTGTTAAATACTAGATAACATTTAGTTTAGAAAAACGAAGATAATTTTACTCATTTGTATTTAATATGAAGAAATATGTCTTCCCAAGTAAGCATAACTACTATTATGTAAAGCTACCAAGCACTGGGGTGAGAGCAGTTCTAATTGAACACTGGATTCTTCACTCTAAACCTTTCCTGAAGGATTAGGGTAAGAACAAAGTAGTTAATCAGATAAAGGAGAAGAAAATAAGACATGTAAATCAGGTTCAACTTCTGGGAGATTTCTGGCATGACTATTTTCTTCTTCAGCTCACCCTCCTGCTCCCTTGTAAGAACACCACAAGCCAAGGACAGATTTGCCCTAGTTGTTTGGATTGTAGACGCTTCCAGGACAAGGTTCATCTGTGGCCTTATCAACAAGGCCTAAGGCTGAATTCTGAGGAACAGTGAAGCAGAGAGCTTCTAAGCACAATTTTGCAGCCCTGGTTTAGGTTCTAGATCTGCTGACTTTATTTATAGTTGTATATTTTATTTATATTTATATATTTTTATAAATATATTTAAAAAGTTATATAATTTATTTCTATTCATGTATTTTTCTTTTAATGCTCTCTCAGCAGAATCATATCTGCTGCTTTTCTAGGTGTGTCGCCTTGAGCAAGCTAATTTGAAACTTGGATTCTTCCCCTATTAGAGAGAGAACAATGCCGCCTATCTTCCTCGGTTCTGATAGGGCTTACACTCAATATTTTATGTATGGGAACAATCAGCCTGGGTGGAGTTGGGGCTGCACTTTCTGACCAAGTCAGTGGTTGGTCTGCAGTTCACTCCCTACCGTGTCCCTACACTGAGCCCCGATGTCAGTGGTCACTTACCGTTGGGCCCTGTGCTATAAAGTTAATAGCTATAAAGCTAATCAAGGAGGAAAACCAAAAACCCACAAGATGATGTACTCCAAGGAAAATGAGATTCAAACCTATTTATTTGTGGAAATAAAAAATATTCTTCCACATTTACTATGAAAACCCCTTGGCCAGGTTTGATCCTGTAGGTTTACTGTGGCACACTAATGGCATTTGAGTGTGTAATCCTTGACCTAACGAGGTCAAGGCAGTCAGTGGGCACTATGGTGACTGCCCCCATACACAGGAAAGAAATAGGTCACCTTTTCTAATTTCACTATGTTAGCTGTAAGCTCTTGACAGAGAACCTCCACACTGAATTGTACTTGTGACCTCAGGCCGGATGGTGCTGTCTGTCTGTAAGAAAAAAGAGAAAAAGTATTATGGACAGTGATGACAAGGAAAGAAGTGGAATGAACACATTTAAAATTTATTTGAACAGAAAATTGGTTTAGAATAGAAGAGAGTGAACATTTCATTTGTTAATATTAGACAAAGCCCTACAGTAGTCTGCAACTCCAGGCTAGATGTTTAGGGAACTGATTCCTAAAAGCTCATCTAGAAACCTCTTAAGTGGTATTTGTTTAAGTGGATATGGTGTGTTTTGGCTTCCAAACAAAAATCAGGCAATTATTTTCAAGCACGTGGTTTCTTAGAACCCTTTTATTAACCCCTATTATCCTCTCTATCTCCACTAGAGCATAAACTTACAAGAATCATTGTGCTTTTCAGTTATTTATACTAGAACTTTAAAAGTTTAGGAATGTCTTTATCTAGTTAATCAAATGTCCACTGAAATATGAGACTTTTGTAGTTCCTTCTTTGAGACTTATCATACAACTATAATTGCCTTTGTCTTTTAATCGGACAGATGTAATCAATGTTTACTGCCTGAATATTTATGGCATAGGCTCTTACTCTGGGGTCCACTGAAATCCTAAAGCAGCTAACGCTGGAAAATCTGGAGCTGCACATATATTTTCTGGAAAGATGGTCTAAAGCTATTTTTCAGACTTTTGTGTTAAGGTTAAGAACCATGGTCTGTATTGTTTCTATATTTCTTGGTTGTGATTTGATTATATATATACACGTATGTGTATATCTTTACATATACATATGTAAAGATACAGTATCATTCTGTTGCCTAGGCTGGAGGAGTGCAATGGCACAATCGTGGTTCACTGCAGCCTCATACTTCTGGGCAAAAGGGATCCTCCCGCCTCAGCCTCCCAAGTAGCTAGGGCTACACAGGTACGCGTCACTACGGCTGGCAATCATCTTACGCAGTATTATGGGTGTCCACAATGGAGATTAGCAGCCCCAACCGCTCCTCCAGGGTATTAATTCTATATCTCATATAGAAGGTCGAGATGATGAGTGCACAGACACTGGAAAGGGATGATAGAGAAACATTTTCATTAGGTTAATGGCCAGGATCTGATGTTCATAAAACAACTAGGGCCAATGTGGTAAACTCGAGGCAAGGCATTTTCCAAAATAACTTGGTAAAGAGACTTTAAAAACATCCTTTTTAAACTGGCTGATGCTTGTCATAAAACTTACAGCTAGAAGAGACTTAAAACCCTCTAGCCCAAGTCCCTCAATTTGTAGATAATGGCCATTCTAATAGCATTGGTCAGAGCCAGATCGAAGTTGGAGTACCAAGCCAGTGTACTGCTGACCTCTGCTAGAACAGCCTGGGCAGACAGTCCCCAGCCGTGTGCTCTGGTGACTCCCTGCTTTATCTGGAAACTAGACTGGGCATGTCTTCCTTGGTTGTGAGGAACAGCCTAGAACTGGGTCAGGCTATTCGCAGAAGAACAATTGGTTATAAACGAGAAGTTAAAAAAGTCAATGCCTACATTTTTGGTAAAGGGGATGAGGATAACATTTTCAAGTTGTGTTGGCCCCTATTTAGGGGACATGGGACAGATGGCAAAACAAAATTATAGCTACATGGAAGGAATAGGTTCTAGTGTTGAATACCACTGTGGAATGACTAAGTTAACAATGATAGAGTTTCAAATAGCTAGAAGGATACTGAAATTTCTCAACATGAAGAAATAATAAGGGTTATGGATATGCTAATTACCTGGATCTGATCGGTATACATTATGTGTATCAAAACATCACTATATACTCCATAAATACGTACAATGATTATATGTCAACTAAAAAAATAAAATAAATCACAAGGGTAAAGATGCTTCATAATTCACAGAGAAATTTCCCAACTAATGGTACCTACTCAGAACTTAGTCCTCTGCGGGGTTTGGCATAACCATGAAAATGTGACTTAAGCCTAAGGAAAAAAAGCTGCAGTAGGAGACAGAAACTGTCAAAGAAAAGATGTGGGTTACATTTCAGACAACTGAGATTTACAGTGGCTCTATGCAATGTGAAGAGATTATTCCTTTAGAGAATGGAATCATTTTCTTTTTTTTTTTTTTCAATATTTCTTTTTTTTTTTTAATTTTTTATTGGATTTTAGGTTTTGGGGTACATGAGCAGAGCATGCAAGACAGTTGCGTAGGTACACACATGGCAGTGTGCTTTGCTTTCCTTTTCCCCTTTACCCACGTTTGGCATTTCTCCCCAGGCTATCCCTCCTCACCTCCCCCTCCCACTGTCCCTCCCCTTTTCCCCCCTATAGACCCCAGTGTTTAGTACTCCCCTTTCTGTGTCCATGTGTTCTCATTTTTCATCACCCGCCTATGAGTGAGAATATGCGGTGTTTCAATTTCTGTTCTTGTGTCAGTTTGCTGAGGATGATGTTCTCCAGATTCATCCATGTCCCTACAAACGACACAAACTCATCATTTCTGATTGCTGCATAATATTCCACGGTGTATATGTGCCACATTTTTCCAATCCAGTCTATCATCAATGGGCATTTGGGTTGATTCCAGGTCTTTGCTATTGTAAACAGTGCTGCAATGAACATTCGTGTACATGTGTCCTTATAGTAGAACGATTTATAGTCTTTTGGATATATACCCAGTAATGGGATTGCTGGGTCAAATGAAATTTCTATTTCTAAGGCCTTGAGGAATCGCCACACTGTCTTCCACAATGGTTGAACTAATTTACACTCCCACCAACAGTGTAAAAGTGTTCCTTTTTCTCCACATCCTCTCCAGCATCTGTTGTCTCCAGACTTTTTAATGATCGCCATTCTAACTGGCGTGAGATGGTATCTCAATGTGGTTTTGATTTGCATCTCTCTGATGACCAGTGACGATGAGCATTTTTTCATATGATTGTTGGCCTCATATATGTCTTCTTTTGTAAAGTGTCTGTTCATATCCTTTGCCCACTTTTGAATGGGCTTGTTTGTTTTTTTCCTGTAAATCTGTTTGAGTTCTTTGTAAATTCTGGATATCAGCCCTTTGTCAGATGGGTAAACTGCGAAAATTTTTTCCCATTCTGTTGGTTGCCGATCCACTCTAGTGACTGTTTCTTTTGCCGTGCAGAAGCTGTGGAGTTTCATTAGGTCCCATTTGTCTATTTTGGCTTTTGTTGCCAATGCTTTTGGTGTTTTGTTCATGAAGTCCTTGCCTACTCCTATGTCCTGGATAGTTTTGCCTAGATTTCCTTCTAGGGTTTTTATGGTGCCAGGTCTTATGTTTAAGTCTTTAATCCATCTGGAGTTAATTTTAGTGTAAGGTGTCAGGAAGGGGTCCAGTTTCTGCTTTCTGCACGTGGCTAGCCAGTTTTCCCAACACCATTTGTTAAACAGGGAATCCTTTCCCCATTGCTTGTTTTTGTCAGGTTTATCAAAGATTGTATAGTTGTAGATATGTTGTGTTGCCTCCGGTGCCTCTGTTTTGTTCCATTGGTCTATATCTCTGTTTTGGTACCAGTACCATGCTGTTTTGATTACTGTAGCCTTGTAGTATAGTTTGAAATCCTGTAGTGTGATGCCCCCCGCTGTGTTCTTTTTGCTTAGAATTGACTTGGCTATGCGGGCTCTCTTTTGGTTCCATATGAAGTTCATGGTGGTTTTTTCCAGTTCTGTGAAGAAAGTCAATGGTAGCTTGATGGGGATAGCGTTGATTCTGTAAATTACTTTGGGCAGTATAGCCATTTTCACGATATTAATTATTCCTAACCATGAACATGGAATATTTCTCCATCTGTTTGTGTCCTCTCTGATTTCGTTGAGCAGTGGTTTGTAGTTCTCCTTGAAGAGGTCCCTTACGTTCCTTGTGAGTTGTATTCCAAGGTATTTTATTCTTTTTGTAGCAATTGTGAATGGCAGTTCGTTCTTGATTTGGCTTTCTTTAAGTCTGTTATTGGTGTAGACGAATGCTTGTGATTTTTGCACATTGATTTTATATCCTGAGACTTTGCTGAAGTTGCTTATCAGTTTCAGGAGTTTTTGGGCTGAGGCGATGGGGTCTTCTAGGTATACTATCATGTCGTCTGCAAATAGAGACAGTTTGGCTTTCACCTTTCCAATTTGAATACCCTTTATTTCTTTTTTCTTGCCTGATTGCTCTGGCTAGGAGTTCCAGTACTATATTGAATAGGAGTGGTGAAAGAGGGCATCCTTGTCTAGTGCCAGATTTTAAAGGGAATGCTTCCAGTTTTTGCCCATTCAGTATGATATTGGCTGTTGGTTTGTCATAAATAGCTTTTATTACTTTGAGATACATTCCATCGATACCGAGTTTATTGAGGGTTTTTAGCATAAAGGGCTGTTGAATTTTGTCAAATGCCTTCTCTGCGTCAATTGAGATAATCATGTGGTTTTTGTTTTTGGTTCTGTTTATATGGTGAATTATGTTGATAGACTTGCGTATGTTGAACCAGCCTTGCATCCCCGGGATGAATCCTACTTGATCATGATGAATAAGTTTTTTGATTTGCTGTTGCAATCGGCTTGCCAATATTTTATTGAAGATTTTTGCATCTATGTTCATCACGGATATTGGCCTGAAGTTTTATTTTCTTGTTCGGTCTCTGCCGGGTTTTGGTATCAGAATGATGTTGGTCTCGTAAAATGATTTGGGAAGGATTCCCTCTTTTTGGATTGTTTGAAATAGTTTTAGAAGGAATGGTACCAGCTCCTCTTTGTGTGTCTGGTAGAATTCGGCTGTGAACCCGTCTGGACCTGGACTTTTTTTGAGTGGTAGGCTCTTAATTGCTGCCTCGACTTCTGACCTTGTTATTGGTCTATTCATAGCTTCAGCTTCCTCCTGGTTTAAGCTTGGGAGGACACAGGAGTCCAGGAATTTATCCATTTCTTCCAGGTTTACTAGTTTATGTGCATAGAGTTGTTTGTAATATTCTCTGATGATGGTTTGAATTTCTGTGGAATCTGTGGTGATTTCCCCTTTATCATTTTTTATTGCATCTATTTGGTTGTTCTCTCTTTTCTTTTTAATCAATCTGGCTAGTGGTCTGTCTATTTTGTTGATCTTTTCAAAAAACCAGCTCTTGGATTTATTGATTTTTTTGAAGGGTTTTTCGTGTCTCAATCTCCTTCAGTTCAGCTCTGATCTTAGTTATTATCTTCTGCTGGGTTTTGAGTTTTTTTGATCTTGCTCCTCTAGCTCTTTCAATTTTGATGATAGGGTGTCAATTTTGGATCTCTCCATTCTCCTCATATGGGCACTTATTGCTATATACTTTCCTCTAGAGACTGCTTTAAATGTGTCCCAGAGGTTCTGGCACGTTGTGTCTTCGTTCTCATTGGTTTCAAAGAACTTCTTTATTTCTGTCTTCATTTCATTGTTTACCCAGTCAACATTCAAGAGCCGGTTGTTCAGTTTCCATGAAGCTGTGCGGTTCTGGTTTGGTTTCTGTATTCTGAGTTCTAACTTGATTGCACTATGGTCTGAGAGGCTGTTTGTTATGATTTCATTTGTTTTGCATTTGTTGAGCAGTGCTTTACTTCCAATTATGTGGTCAATTTTAGAGTAGGTGTGATGTGGTGCTGAGAAGAATGTGTATTCTGTGGATTTGGGGTGGAGAGTTCTGTAAATGTCTATCAGGTTTGCTTGCTCCAGGTCTGAGTTCAAGCCCTGGATATCCTTGTTGATTTTCTGTCTGGTTGATCTGTCTAATATTGACAGTAGAGTGTTAAAGTCTCCCAGTATTATTGTGTTGGAGTCTAAGTCTCTTTGTAAGTCATTAAGAACTTGCCTTATGTATCTGGGTGCTCCTGCATTGGGTCCATATATGTTCAGGATCGTTAGCTCTTCTTGTTGTATCGATCCTTTTACCATTATGTAATGGCCTTCTTTGTCTCTTTTGATCTTTGTTGCTTTAAAGTCTATTTTATCAGAGATGAGAATTGCAACTCCTGCTTTTTTTTGCTCTCCATTTGCTTGGTAAATCTTCCTCCATCCCTTTATTTTGAGCCTTTGTGTATCCTTGCATGTGAGATGGGTTTCCTGGATACAGCACACTGAAGGGTTTTGGATTTTTATCAAATTTGCCATTCTGTGTCTTTTGATTGGTGCATTTAGTCCATTTACATTTAGGGTTAATATTGTTATGTGTGAATTTGATACTGCCATTTTGATGCTAAGTGGCTGTTTTGCCTGTTAGTTGTTGTAGATTCTTCATTATGTTGATGTTCTTTAGCATTTAGTGTGATTTTTGAATGGCTGGTACTGGTTGTTCCTTTGTATGTGTAGTGCCTCTTTTAGGAGCTCTTGTAAAGCAGGCCTGGTGGTGACAAAATCTCTGAGTACTTGCTTGTTCGCAAAGGATTTTATTTTTCCTTCACTTCTGAAGCTCAGTTTGGCTGGATATGAAATTCTGGGTTGAAAGTTCTTTTCTTTAAGAATGTTGAATATTGGCCCCCACTCTCTTCTGGCTTGTAGTGTTTCTGCCGAGAGATCTGCTGTGAGTCTGATGGGCTTCCCTTTGTGGGTGACCCGACCTTTCTCTCTGGCTGCCCTTAGTATTTTCTCCTTTATTTCAACCTTGTTGAATCTGACGATTATGTGCCTTGGGGTTGCACTTCTTGCGGAATATCTTTGCGGTGTTCTCTGTATTTCCTGCATTTGAGTGTTGGCCTGTCTTGCTAGGTGGGGGAAATTTTCCTGGATGATGTCCTGAAGAGTATTTTCCAGCTGGGATTCATTCTCTTCGTCCCCTTCTGGTACACCTATCAAACGTAGGTTAGGTCTTTTCACATAGTCCCACATTTCTTGGAGACTTTGTTCATTCCTTTTTGTCCTTTTTTCTCTAATCTTGGTTTCTCGTTTTATTTCATTGAGTTGGTCTTCGACTTCAGATATTCTTTCTTCTGCTTGGTCAATTCGGCTATTGAAACTTATGCATGCTTCGCGAAGTTCTCGTATTGTGTTTTTCAGCTCCTTTAATTCATTCATATTCCTCTCTAAGTTATCCATTCTTGTTATCATTTCCTCATGTCTTTTTTCAAGTTCCTTAGTTTCTTTGCATTGATTTAATACATGTTCTTTTAGCTCACAAAAGTTTCTCATTATCCACCTTCTGAAGTCTAATTCCGTCATTTCGTCACAGTCATTGTCCGTCCAGCTTTGTTCTCCTGCTGGTGAGGAGTTTTGGTCCTTTCTAGGAGGCGAGGTGTTCTGGTTTCGGGTGTTTTCCTCCTTTTTTCACTGGTTTCTTCCCATCTTTGTGGATTTATCCCCTTGTTGTCTGTGTAGTTGCTGACTTTTCGACTGGGTCTCTGAGTGGACACCCAGATTGTTGATGATGAAGTATTTCTGTTACTTGGTTTTCCTTCTACCAGTCTAGCTCCTTCGCTGTACGACTGCTGAGGTCCACTCCAGGCCCTGCTTGTCTGGGGTGCACCTCTAGCAGCTGTGGCACAGCGAGGGATGCTACCAGTTTCTTTTTCTGCTATCTTTGTCCCAGGATGATGCCTGCCAAATGTCAGTCTTTTGGATATAGAGGGGTCAGGGAGCTGCTTGAGGAGACAGTCTGTACTTTATAGGAGCTCAATTGCTGAGCTGTGAGCTCTGTTGTTCATTCAGGGCTGTTAGGCTGCTATGTTTGATTCTGCTGCAACAGAGCTCATTAAAAAAACCATTTTTTTCTCAAATGCTCTGTGTTGGGGGGTTCGGGCTTTATATTTGGATGTCCGTTGAGGTGTCCTGCCCAGCTAGGAGGCAGACTAGCCACTGTTTGCCTGCCGAGGCTCCTCCCTGCTGTTGTGAGGTTCGCCCTATTGCTGCAGGCTCTGCTGTTCTGCTGTGGTCTCCGCCACGCCCTGCGGCAGAGTCTCTCTGTTGTAGCGGGTTGCCTCGGCAACGGCAGGCTGCGTCAGCAGTGGGCGTGTATCTCAGTAGGGACAGGTTGCCTCGGCAACAGCTGGCTGCATCAGCAGTGGGCGTGTATCTCAGTTGGGGCGGGTTGCCTCGGTAATGGTGGACACCCCTCCCCGACAGAGCGTCTCGGACCATCTGCTCGGGATTGTTTGAAATCGCGGTTTTGTTCATCCCACTGGGCTATCCCAAACGCTCTGTCCCTGCAATCCCCTGGGCTGGCCCACTGTCCAAGTCTCGTTTAGTCTCAAGTCCAGCCCTCTCAAGTCTCAGGTTGCCGGTTCAACAGGGCACCCGGACAAGCGCACCCTGTGGGGAGTGCTGGGTAGGGCCGGCCACAGCCACCCCGGCTGCTGGCTTTGCCAGGCAGAGGTACTGCCTGTCGTCCCGCGTCTCCTTCATACTTGGGAATTTCCCCGTTCTGTGGGCAACAAAGGTCAGTCTGGAAATGCAGCTCCGACTCATCTCTCCGCGGATTCAACAAGAGCTCCAATCCTGGGTTGTTCCCACAGCTCCATCTTGAGTCCTCTCGGAATCATTTTCTTAAGTCATTCACGGTAAATTCACGTACTTACACAATTGCGTAGAATATAGGAATATGGTGAAGCATCAGACACTTCTGAGACTTGACTTTGTGTAAGATTCCAACAGTTTCGGACTGACCTGTTGGGTAGAAAACAAAAAGCAACTGTTTAAAACCATAACACTTCTTTGATCCAGCAATATCCCTGTGGGTTACTTGAGAGAGGTAATTATTCCCAGGTAAAAGAAATCAGAGAAAGTATCAACTGAAGCCTCCCAGCTGTGATTTTAACCAGGAGTTACAATTCCTTCCAACACATTTCACTGAATACATACCTCTCCATAGCGTTCTTGGTGTCAAGCATTGTGTTGGAGTCAATGGTAAACAATATAACGATATCCTTGCTCTCTTACCAGTATAGCTGGTTATTAGAATAAGTAGTAAGTAAGAAACTTGAGTTATACTGGAAAATTTTTTGCTTTTTTGAGACACTTTGTTTCCTAGGTGATGGAAGCGTGATCACAGCTCACTGCAGCCTTGAACTCCTGGACTCAAGCAATCCTCCTGCATCAGCCTCCCAAGAAGCTGGAACTACAAGTGTGTACCACACCCAGCTGATATTTAAATTTTTTGTAGAGATGGGGTCTTACTATGTTGCCCAGGTTGGTCTTGAAGTCCTTGGACTTAAGCAATCCTCCCACCTCGGCCTCCCAAAGTGTTGGGATTACAGTTCCAGAAATTTTTGAAACATAATCTCATGTATTCAGAATCATGGGGTGACCTCCATGAAAGCTGTTCACTTTTGTATACCTTACTGTAAGCATGGAACTGGGTACTGTCTGCTAAATGAATAAGTGAATTAATATGCAAAGACCTATAATACAAATGGAGGAAAGGGAATAGGAAAAGCAGTCATAAGGTGAAACACAGGGGCCCTTTAAAAGTTACAGATAGGCCCGGTATGGTGGCTTATGCCTGTAATCCCTGCACTTTGGGAGGCCAGGTGAGTGGTTCACTAGAGGTCAAGAGTTAGAGACCAGCCTGACCAACATGGTGAAACCCTGTCTCTACTAAAAATACAAAAAGTAGCCAGGCGTGGTGGCATGCACCTCTAATCCCAGCTACTGAGGAGACCGAGGCACGAGAATAGCTTGAACCCAAGAGGCGGAGGTTGCAGTGAGCCGAGATCGGGTCATTGCACTACAGCCTGGGTGACAGAGCAAGACTCTGTCTATTGAAAAAAAAATCGTTACAAATAGACATCTCCAACCCTTCTCAAAAAAAACCCCCTAAAACCTTCATTCCTTACCGTGTGCAGGGAGACTCTTGGCTTTTCCTTCGGGTACTCTGTTCACGTGGGCATCTGCCCGAGTTGGCTTTGCTTCTCCCTTGGAGACATTCAGAACTGTTTGGAATTCTGTCACATGGAAATCTAAGCCAAAATGGAGCTGGGTAAGTTTTCTCTCCAATGTATTTAAAAACAGGATTAACCACCAAGTAAATCAATCCCTTAAATATGCATAATGGTCAAGAATATGAATGGATCTTCTCACAAGTTAGTTGTGGTGGCTGGGGGCTGAAATTGAATGCTTAAGCAAATAAGTAATAAAGTGGTTTAAGGATAGTCTTTCATTTTCCAACCAACTCACATGGATGATTCAGCTGTAACAACTGACAATATTATTGAAGAGGGAAGAAAATATTATGTTTCTCTCTCACCTCCCCAATATTAAGTCTATTTAAGAAACCTCTGTTAAATGTGCATAAAAACGTGCATTTTTCCTCCATTTGTATTATTAGGTCTTTGCATATTAAAGAAATGAATTTTTAACACACAGGCAATTCTTTTCCCTTGAATGCTCAAGGCACCCTTTCTACAGACCTCATTTCTGATTTTTAACTAGGGAAGACTATTTTTTTTTTTTTATGGGTCAGGGTGGGGATGTTTTGTGGGGAATTAAATTTTAGTCAAAACAATTTCCCAAACCTTGAGAGTTCTCAGATTCAGGAGTCTGAGAACCGGAACTGCTGTATCCTTCCATGTCTTGCATTCTTTGTTCAACCACTCCATCCAGATCTGAGAATTCATCCTTGAAATCCTGAAAGGAAATAGTGAAATGAAGACAGGCCGATTTTCCTTTAATAAACAGGCCTTTGTAACTCCCAGCCCTTTCACCTAGGCCTGACCTATAAAACACAGAATAGATAAAGGGATTACCCTGTCCTATTGGGATTTTCCCAACAGATCACTGAGTGGTTACTGAAACATTTTTGGCAGTTAAAATTCCGTCAACAAATATTGGCCAAGTTGTTTGAAACAACAAATGTCTAGAAAAAAACCCAGGATGCAGATGATTGAGAAGCTTCGAGTGTGAAGCTAAAGAGGTTTCATTTGCACTTCGTAAAGAGAAAAACTGATTACTATAGACATATACAATAGAAAAAAGCAGAGAGAAAGCTCTAAATCCAAGTTTAAGTATGTAGACAGAAATATTACTAAATTATAATTTTTTAAAAGTATTGGAAACAGAAAAGGAAAAATGGCTTTAGCAAATTAGACCCTAAAAGTAAAATTTAAGCTCTTTTTCTTCCCTCAACTAAATCAAAACAGGGTGAGTAATAGTACATTTACATTTTAGACTGATGATGGAGGAGTAAGGGAAAAAGCACAGACGTTCTACTTTGTATTCTATTGGTTCCCCAAAGTGCTTAAGAACTGAAGAGACAAATGGTGTCATTAAAATGTCCTGGCGAAGGTACAATTAGGCTGAGCTTGTAACTTAGTCAGCTGCCAAATGAAGAGACTCATCTTGTAAGCAAATTACCAACCTTTCACCTCGAACTAGCTGCTGGCTGTTTTTTGTTCATCTCAACACTCATTTCAATTTCATACAAGCATTTATAGAAGGAACATTGAAAAGTCTTCAATTTAATGATTTCTTGAATGCCTATCTTGTATCAGGCAGTATGCAAAGCTCCTTACATACATGATTGCATTTAATCTTCACAGCTACATCATGAAGCTGGCATTTTAATGGATGAAGAAACTTAGTCAAAGCAGTTAAACAGCTTGCCTGATAATATAACCTGGCTGGGTGGAGCCCAGATTTTACATCAGGTTTGTTGGATTCCAAATCATATGTGTTACATTGTATTTTGTACTGCTTCCCACTACTGTTTTTCAAGGTAGATTTTTAAGACATTGAGATAAAATTCACATAACATAAAATCCACCATTTAAAATTATGTAATTCAGTGGTGTTTAGAATATTCACAATGTTGTGCACCTGTGACCACAATCTTATTCCGGAATATTTCCATCACCCCCAAAGAAAGCTCATACCCATTAGCAATCACTCTCAATTTCTCCCTCACCCCATTCTCTGGCAAGGAATAGTTTCCTTTCTGTCCTTATGGCTTGCCTGCTCTGGCCATTTCATATAAAGGGAATCATACAGTATGTGGCCTTTTGAGTCTGGCTTCTTTCACTTAGCATACTGCTTTCAAGGTCCATCTATATGGCAGCATGTATCAGTACTTCATTTCCTTTTTATGGCTGAATAATATCTCATTGTATAAATATACCACATTAAAAAAATCCATTAATCAGTTGATGGACATTAGGGTTTTTCCCACCTTTTGGATATTACGAGTAACACTATTAACATTATCGTACAAGTATTTGTGTGAACACGCTTTCAATCCCATTACTTATAAACTGCTCTCAAAAAAAGATTTGTTGGAGATATTCAAACCAGGAGTTCATATTGTTTCATTAAAGTTGAATATTTATCATCATTTGACATGATTGGAACTCTTTTGGGAAAACCTTATAACCATTATGGGTACAAATCTTATACAGAGGGAGCTACTTCCCACTGGAGATTTACTCTACAGTCTACAAAGTCTAAGAAAATCAATCAAACAATCTCTGTCACTTGGGCGTTATAGCTTTCTTTTCTTTCTTTCTTTCTTTCTTTTTTTTTTACAGTTAATTCTGAGCCTGTCTCGTCTTCTCTTCTAAGTTGTGAAGTCTCTGAAGGCAAGAAATAGTTTTAATTTTTCCTGGTATCCTATAGTGTGCACTAGCATGGTAACCTGAACACAGAAAACATTTAGGATTTGTGGGATGACTCAGTCCTACCTCAAACAGAGTTGTGAATCCCTCTAAGCCAATATTGACAAGCAAACAGAGCAAGGCTTTATGCATGCCTTCACTCACCAAGATAGCCTACTAAGCGTTTATTTCCTTTTGTAGGACAACTCTTCAATTACTTGCAAAAAGTTTATGGCTACTGTGGTTTCCTCTTCTTCAAGACAGGTGTATCCTGTTTCTTCAATTGTGCCTCAAATATTTTGGTCCTAAGCTCTTCCCATACCTCAGTCATGGTGTAAGCACAAGTGTAATTGGGGGATATATTCCCTTTCTTTTTCATTTAGATAGTTTTGTATGCGACTTACCAGAGGCAGAGATGAAGGGCGGTCTTCTCAGAAACTGTTTTCAGTAGAAGATGGATTGGGACTATTACCAACACTTGTATTCTGAAATCATTGGAACAAAATGAAAAACCAGATCAACTATGAAACCATAAGAAATACAGAAGAGAGTAATTGAGGCTCAGGGACATCATACTCACTTCTAAGTGGCAACACACAGATCTTAGTAGTTTGTAAGTTGACAGCTGGGCGCGGTGGCTCACGCCTATAATCTTAGCACTTTGGGAGGCCGAGGCAGGTGGATCATGAGGTCAAGAGATCGAGACCATCCTGGTCAAAAAGGTGAAACCCCCTCTCTACTAAAAATGCAAAAATTAGCTGGGCACAGTGGTGCGTGCCTGTAGTCCCAGCTACTCGGGAGGCTGAGGCAGGAGAATTGTTTGAACCCAGAAGGCAGAGGTTGTGGTGAGCCGAGATTGTGCCATTGCACTCCAATCTGGGTAACAACAGCGAAACCCCATATAAAAAAATTAAAATAAAAAATAAAAAAATAAAAAGGTAGTTTGTAAGTTGAATCTCTGGAGAGCAAAGAGACAAATATGTACTGAAAAACAAAACAGAATAATTATGAAGAGATATTCCTGATGAGAAGTGAGTTCAGAGTTCAGAAAAGTATCTGTATACAGCTTTTCATTTTCAAGCAACGTAGACCTCTCTTTGGTCTATATTCTCATTCCTTTCACCCAAACATTCCATTTTTATTCAATTCCTGGAATAAGGTAAATGTATTCTCCCACAGAAGCAACAAAACCCTCAAACCCAGTTTAAGAGTAATAAATAAAGGCAGGGCAAAATGAAGACTCCAAAACCCTAACATTGGTGCCTCAAACAAGCCCAGAGAAGAAAAGGCCTGAACATTAAGAAAAGGCTGGTGACATTCACCAGATCCCCTGTAAAATCTCTCTCCCTCTGTTTTTGTTTTTAAGGGTATGTAACAATTCCCAAGGGTCTGCTTTCACTGCTCTGACCTAGATTTCCACTGAAAACTTCCCAGTGTCTCTCACAGGCTAGCTCTCTTTCATGCTACTTCCAGATTCTTCCTTGTACAAATATGGAGATTTTCTAGTGGAGACTTATAAGTGAGCTATGGGAAAGGAGTAAAATCAAAGCTAGACTAAACACGAGAAGACAAACGACATCAGGAAAAATGATTTTACCATAAACAATACATTCAGAAAATATAAAAACCTACTATTTTCTCCATCTATTTATGCCATAGAGTGTTTTCAGACCTCTTTTCCATGAGTTTGTGATTATCCTTCTCATTCACCAATGAGGGAACTTGACTTATTTCAAAGCAAGAACTGTATTCCAAAGTAATTAATATTGTGGGTTCTGGCATCAGGCAGATCCAGTTGCAAATGCTGGCTCTGACACGTACTAAGTGGGTGACATTGGGAAAATCGCTCAACCCTTCTACCTTTCAGTTATCTTAACAAGTCATCCATTACAGGGTGTTAGCATTGAACAAATGAGAAAACAAAAAAAAGCATTAGTGTATGCCTGACAAGAAGGAAATACTGATGCCTGTTGACTATTAGTATTAAAAAAAAATCACCAAATAGATTTTAACATATTTTCTAGCTTATCAGAATGGTCTCTTTCATCTTTCCTTTTTTCTTCTTCTCTCTATAGTTTTCTAGTATGGTTAGAAAGGAAATCTATTGCCAGTCATGGTGGTTCATGCCTGTAATCCCAGCACTTTGAGAGGCTGGGGAGGGAGGATCACTTGAGCCCAGGAGTTTGAGACCAGCCCTGAAAACATAGCAAGATTCCATCTCTATTAAAAAAAGAAAAAAAGAAAAAAACAGAAATGAAATCTACAGAATGTAGATTTTATGCTTCACAGAAATAATAGGTAAAAGATGTTTTAAAATTTCATGTGAAAAGTAACCAGACCACTCTCCTTTTCTTGCCAAGTTGAAATACACACCACTTTAGTGCAAATTTTTCTGATGTCTTAGGTAGCCCAACAGTCAATTCAGCTCTAGAATTTCTGTATAGGAGGTAGCTCAGGCAACCTGGTAGTAAAGAAGGTCTAAAAACGGATCCCACACCTGCAGTTGCAGAGCAGGTGCAAGTTGTATTTATCTGGAAGGGCTCTGGGGAGATATTGATTGAGGTTATGGAAAGGCTGGCTACCGCCACACCAGGGACTCCTCACTATCATCCTGCCTACCTCCCCCTGTCAGTAAAATAGTGGTTGTTGTTGCTCTTGTTCTTTATAAATATTTATTCCTTTTTTGAGACAGGGTCTTACTCAGTCACCCAGGCTGGGGTGCAGTGATGCTCGATCTCAGCTCACTGCAACCTCTGCCTCCCAGGCTCAAGCAATCCTCCCACCTCAGCCTCCTGAGTAGCTGAGACCACAGGTGTGTGCCACCACACCTGGTTAATTTTTGTATTTTTTGAAGAGACAGTTTTCGTCATGTTGCCCAGGCTGATACTGAACTCCTGAACTTAAGCCATCTGCCTGCCTGGGCCTCCCAAAGTGCTGGGATTACAGGTGTGAGCCACCATGTCTGGATCTGTTTTTTTTTTTCTTTTTCTTTGAGGCAGGGTCTTGCTCTGTTGCCCAGGCTGGAGTGTGGCGGCATAATCATGGCTCACTGCAGCCTTTACCTCCTGGGCCCAAGTGGTTCTCTACCTCAGCCTCCTGAGAAGCTGGGATCACAGGCATAACCCGCCATGTCCAACTAATTTTTGTATTTTTTGTAGCAACGGGGTTTCACCATATTGCCCAGGATAGTTCCCAACTCCTGGGGTCAAGCAATACTCCCACCTCAGCCCTCAGCCTCCCAAAGTGATGGGATTGTAGGCATGAGCCACCACGCCTGGCCTCCTTTTTTTTTTTTTTTAAGACTATTAAAGACCTGAGTATATCAGTTTAGCCTGACCCAGCAGATGTTAGGGAAAAAGAAGTCAAGAAAGAATTTTATGTTTTTGACCTTGGTCAGGCAAGTATAATTAAGTCAGCAGGAAATTCGAAATTGGCAACACTTCTATGAGAATAAATCACCTCGTGAAGGGAAACAGCACTCCATGAATGCCTACAGGCTATGGTTTTTAAAACTAGTCACATAGAATTTTCCTGATTCACCACAGGAGATGAAGATATTTATGGTTTGGAGTCTTGGTCCTCGGCAAGAGGCCCCTCAGGCAGCAAAGCCCAGAGCAGGAGGACAAAGCAAAGGTGCCCTCACTCTGCTGCATACTCACCCTGTCTGTGACCGTTGCTATGATCAGGGCATTTGGCACTAGAAGAGCAGTTTTGGTTTTCTTTATTAGCGTTACTGAGAAAGCTGGAATAGAGATCTGAAACAGAATCACCATGTTAATGCCAGTTCAGACTTAACAGAACAGCACTTCAAATCTTCAATTAAAGGAAAAACAAAAAGGTAATCGGAAATCAAAATCAGCAGCAAGCTTTCACAGCCTCCATGAAGAAAAGTCAGTGTTAGAGTGGCAGGGATGTGTCACTGAAGCTCCTCCAAGTGGTGCTTACTAAGCCAGAGGATACATCTGAATCATCGATTCAGCTGAAGATCTTGGTGGGAAATCTTTCTTCAGACATGGAAATGGAATGCAAAATGTATATTCATTTTAAAGAGAAGCCCAAGGCTCTAACAAAATTTCAAGCTTGTGGTCATCTGCTTTGGGCTAACTTCCACATGCCCCACTCTTCTCTGTCTTTAGGTCATTGTTGAGGGGAAAAGGTTAAAAAGCACTAATAATAGGAACAACACTGGACAGAAAATCTGGGACCTGAATTCTTGGCTCAGTTATGTCACTACAGGTTGAGCATCCTTAATCTGAAAATCAGCTATCCAAACTACTCCAAATTTGCATGCTGATATTGGCGGTCAAAGGCAATGCTCATTGGAGCATTTCCGATTTTCGATTTTTGGATTAGGGATGCTTAGCCAGTGGTATGTCGGCAGACATTGCAAAATCTGAAATCCAGAACACTTCTGGTCCCAAGTATTTTGGATAGGGGATACTCAACCTGTATCTAAATGACCTACTCCACCTTGTAAGCTATCCATTGTAGACCTCAGTTTCTTGATTTATAAATTGGAGATAGTCTCATCTGCTTCTCAGGATTTTCTGTGGATTAAGTGAGATAAAATATGGAAAATGCCCAGTGATGAATAAAAATTTCATTTACCTCCTTACTGGTTTCACGAAATCAGGGTGTGTGAAATAAAAGTATTATAAATATTTTTTCAGGTTCAACAAAGAATAACAATGGTAACTATTAAAGCTACCATTATTGATACCTATTTACCAGATGAGAATTTAATTTAATTATAAAAATCCTACATAGTCAATATTATAGGAAATAAATTTATTTAGAGAGGTGCATGTCATACATATAAAAAGTTACAAAGATGGAACTCAAACCAATCAGTTTCAAAATGTGGGTTCTTTTCAATACAATGTGCTATAAGAATGTATCAAATGGCACAAAGCACAGAAGTTCATGATAATTTTGTTATATCTCTCCAACCAAGTTTGATCTCGAAGGAAAATGGATCGCATCACTTTAGTCCTTGAAAATAGAGTCACCCATAGCCATGGTACAAATGATCTAGGCTGGGCATGGTGGCTCATGCCCGTAATCCAAGCACTTTGGGAGGTGAAGGTGGGTGGACCACCTGAGGCCAGGAGTTCGAGACCAACCTGGCCAACATGGTGAAACTGCATCTCTACAAAAAAACAAAAAATGATCTGACTCCCTACTTCCCTAGGAACTCACACTCACTTGAACATCTACTGGAAAATGCCTCACATATTCTCAAAGAGTGGAGAAGAGATGTGCTTTATGTAAGTACTGCCAGCTTGAAGGAAGCAAAATGAGCTTTTAATTTTGAATATTTGCATTCACATCTGGGTTTATGAGATGGGATTATTTACTGCCCTCAATGATCTAGGCAGGAAGACTATGGAAGAATAAGGGCTAACCCAATTGAAACATTTTCTAAAAACTGTTTGCCAAAGAACTCCACTCACATTTTTCAAAAGCAGGAGGCATCCATAACTTATAAGGTGAGATAAATTTGGAAAAAAAGAATTTGAGATCTACTTAGATGATGTTAATAAAAAACGGGTCTAATTTAGTTTCTGAGCAGCAATACAAACATGCAGTGACAAAGAGCTATAAATTTAGATTTTTCATCATCTAAGGCATGGAACACCCTTAAAAAGGAGTTTTCAATCTATTGCTTCATGAGTATAGAAGTACAACTAGATAACATTTGTAAAATAAAGCTTAAATCACTTATCAGTTTGAGCCTAGACAGAATGTGATACATGCATGTTAATATTGCTAACATATGAAAATACCAACAGGCTGACTAAAAAGATCCTGATTAAATTAAGGCTACATTTTATTCATATTGTTCCAGAGTGAATGATAATATTTTTCCAGTGCAATGGTAACATTTTTCCAGGGCAAATTGCTTTAGAAGGGGAACTTGATCAGAAAGTTCCCATTGTAGAGCAATTGTTTGGGTGTCTTGAGCTCATATTGGACCACATTGGACTGAAGTCCACTGGCAGTGAGGAAAGTCTGCAACATCTCCGAAGCCCAAGTCTCCTTTGACACCATTCTTAGAAGGGATGGAAGATACGAGTCACTATCATGGTTCTTATTCCCACACTCTGCTAATTTTCAATCTCCTGCCTCGGTAGGTTACACATTGTAAAAGCACTCTTGGTGGATCCATGTCTTCAAAAAACCAGGGTCACTCCTTTTAACTTCTTTTTATCAGTTCTCTCTTAGGTAGAAGTAGAACTTTAAAACCATTGCTAGAATCCTATTAGCTTGAAACCGCACTGACTGCCTTTGTGAATTCCCCAATCCCTTAACAAAGACTAACACTTTGTTCATCAGTGTCTTCAGTCCCTGCTGCTCTGCTCACAGATGTTGGCTCTCTGTGAATTTCTGAGAAGTGTATCACACTGATTGGTACTACACAATCCCCTTCCCCATTCCATGAAAAAGCCCTTTAATTCAGAAATGTAGAAATATATACAACACTGCTTCATATTGCTTTGTATTATACTGATTCAGATAATACTGTGAATCAAATAATGCTTATCTAAATATAACTCTATATGATAAAAATCAATATAAAAAGAAGATGTTTTACCTAAAGAATAGTATGCTAGTCTCTAGCTCCAACACCAACAAAATGGTCTTTATGCGATTGCTGCCAGTGGTTTTAGAGAGAATATTTAAATAAAGCACATCTACCACTCAAAACAAAAAGTTTTTTTTCAGCTTCTTCATGAGTATGAAAGTTGCTTCTTCATAACCACGAATCAGAATGATTGACAACTCATTGAGGTCATGCAAACCCAAGAGGGTGTTTCTCGGACTCCTTATTCTGGAGGCCTGAATGAACTGTGATGTGACATCATAGCTCAAAGGTTAAAAAAAAAAGTCAGTGGGATAGAATTATCTTTCCTTCACAGGCCACAGTCCCACGGTCCCCAGTTTAGAGGGCAGTACCAATTCCTTTAGGCTGTTCTCCTTAATGCCTCAGGGTGTCATGTGTCTCTGCTTCCCCAAATCTGTGTTTAATAATAATGAAAAGCTGTGATATCAGAGTCCACTTGGGATTGAGGGTATCTAACTTCCCAGGCTAGGCCTTAACTGCTCTACTTCCTGCTTATTTTGTGCTGGGGAGGGTACAGCGGGAATGCTAATAAGTAGCTTATTTATAGGCCTTCTGTCCTAGACATCGCTGGTGATAACTGGTATAAATGTGGTACAAAAATGGATGTTTCTTAAAAGAAATCATTTTAGTTTAAATGTATACCTTTGAAAATCATGGCACACCCTCCATAGAAACAACTTTGAGTGTTCCCTGGTGACATCTTAGTAAAAAGGATTTAGGGTATCGTTATGGGTGAGATATAAACTTTCTCCCTCCTTTATTTATACATGTATACCTCATATATGGGTATATGTGTATATATGAGGTATATGTGTATAAGGAAAGGAGGGAGAAAGTTTAGAGAAAAAAGGAAAATTAGTGTCATCTGGAAGCATTTAGAACCTGTAGTATTTGGAACTAAAACAAAGGAAACTTGGCATAAAAACAGAATAACCATGATATAAATATCTATAAATATAGCTAAATTTAAGACAATTAATATTTACAATATCCAATAAAAGTATAGGGTTAGTGTCCTTCTTCTTTTTTTTTTTTTTTTTAATTATACTAACCTTTGTGTCTTTTCCAAAGACCTTGGAATGAAAACAAATCCAGTTTTCTGATACAAAGAGCTTTCCTTGGTATAGTATTTCTTTCTGTAGTGCACAGGTAAAGCCTAGGAGAATATACAGAGATATAGCATCATTTAGAATTTCCATTTAAAATAAAAACCGTGTATATATTTTAGTGACTCAAGGATGGGCAGAGATAATATATTCATACTCAAAAGTTCTATTGCCTCTTCTTCAGTTTTCTTTATGGGAAGAAAGCTATGGCGACCAGGTCATGGCAGGAACCCAGCATCTTGCCTTAACTTTTGCACATCAAGAGAGACTAGAATGGAATGTCAGGCCCCTTGAAGAACCACTGCAGAGCCCAGTAAGTGTGTTTAACTTGCATACTGGGCAAGATATTTAGGTGACCATCACACCCTTCACAGTGGCATCAGCACATGTCTGTCCATGTCTAAGGATGTGAGTTTTCTTTTAGCCTTCTTCTAGTGACCTCTGTTGCCCCAGGCTTGTTATTCTAAATCTTAAAGCAATCTAACCATGTGTATTTCAGCAATAAACAAAGAAGGGAAGGGTATCATGGAACCATCTTGGGTGACTCCATACCCCATGGAGAAGTTTCTCTTTCTCCTCTCTGATCTTTTCACGCTGCCTGATGAAAGCTGACTGAAGCTGGTGTTATTGTTATGTCATGACTTTCAGAAACCTGATCCCCTGGGTGACTCAGTCCGTACACTATGCTCTCTTTCTTCCCCAGAACTAATTATCATCTTTTCAAATATGTAGCTAAAAAAGTCAAACGTCAGAACTTACTTTGCCTCAGTGGTTCCTCCGTTGGAACATTAAGAAACAACTTGTGAAAGTGCATATTGGCCTTGTACTACAATGAGAACAAAAGACAAGCATCACTACTCTCATTTTCTTGTGGAACATCACAAATTTTAGCTTCAATAACAAATTTCCCCTCCCTTAATAGTAACTTTAGGAATTCCTTCTCACTGATCTTACAGTCTCTGACACAAGCCTTCAGGAAAACATAGTGAAAATTAGGGCATACAACTTTCATTTTCTAACAAGCTTAATGCTTTGCTGGTTGGATATAATGATGCAGCTGCTGGTCAGCCTACTGCAAGGTAACAGGGCTGGACAAGGATGTCCCTGATGAGAAATGGGATGAAATTCTAAGGAGTCTCATTAGGGAAGGTACTGAATCCCATGTCCTAAAGGTCCCAGTAAGTACTCTCAGAAGAGTACAGTGGTTAAAAGCTTTGCAATCACGTAAGGCTGAGTTGAAGTCTTGGCTGTAGTGGCTCTACTTCAGGGGATACCTCAGGCTCAAATGGGATAATATACCTAAAGGACCTATAGTCTAAGGCAACATATGGCCACTCTTCCTACTGTATCATTTTGTAAAGGCATTTCCCTAGCCAGTGACAGGAGTAGGATGCAGTAGGCTACTGTCAAGACAAATAGAATTTCATATGAAGACTTCACTCTCCAGGGCAGCAGGCGGACCAAGACTGTGAAATGTTGCAAATCACTTCATCTTCAAGGGATCTATTTTCACAACTGTGACAATAACAATGGATAGCCAGCAATTCGCATCTTGTAAAACACTTTCACCTGCACCATGCAGCTATTAAGAGGTAGAACTGTTAGCTGAACATGATGGCTTGTGCCTACAGTCCTAGCTACTCAGGAGGCTGAGGTAGGATCTCTTTAGCCCAGGAGTTCAAGGCTACAGTGAGTTATGGGGTGGAACTGGGTATTCCCTCCACAGACTCAATCTGTCTCACAGGATGCTTCTGAAGGAAAATTCTTTTTTTTTTTCCAAAGGGAGTTTTGCTCTTGTTGTCCAGGTTGGAATGCAATGGTGTGATCTCAGCTCACTGCAACCTCTACCTCCCAAGTTCAAGCAATTCTCCTGCCTCAGCCTCCTGAGCAGCTGGAATTACAGGTATGCGCCACCACACCTGGCTAATTTTGTATTTTTAGTAGAGATGGGGTTTCTCCATGTTAGTCAGGCTGGTCTCAAACTCCTGACCTCAGGTTATCTGCCTGTCTTGGCCTCCCAAAGTGCTGGGATTACAGGCATGAGCCACCATGCCCGGCCTCAAGAAAAAATTCTTATAAGGAGAATGGGTAGGAGGTCCTGGATGCCTTATTATTCAAACCAAGAGTGGTCTCAATGTAAAAACTGGCCCTGTTTTGCCATAAAGTACTATAGACCAGGTCATCAAGATGATAGATGGTCCCTGCAAGTCAGCTCTTTTATAGATAAACACCTTATAGAAAGATACCTTGATTAAAGCTAGGTGTTCTGTGGGGCTTCACTGAGCTTTTGTTTTTAATGGCTACAGTGAGCAATGGATGCACACTTGATTTAAAATATGCTAGCCCATAAACTCTTCAAAAATGTCAGTGTAATAAAGGGCCAAAAAGGTAGTGGGGCTGATCTGAATTAAAAGGGATATAGCAGGGCTGAGTATGGTGGTTCATGCTTGTAATCCCAGCACTTTAGGACACCTAGGTGGGCGGATCACCTGAGGCCAGGGGTTTGAGACAGGCCTGGCCAACATGGCGACACCCTATCTGTACTAAAAATACAAAAATTAGATGGTGCACCTCTGTAATCCCAGCAACTCGGGTGGGTGAGGCATATGAGAATCACTTGAACATGGGAGGTGGAGGTTGCAGTGAGCTGAAATTGTGGTAAAAAGAGCAAGACTGTCTGGAATAAAAAAAAAAGAAAAAAAAAAGAAAAGATAGCAAATACATGTAGTATGTGACTCTTGATTGGATCCTGGAGAGGAAAAAAAAGCCTTTATAAAGGACATTTATTACTGGGACTACTATGGAAATTCAAAAGTGGATTTTATATTAATGATATTTTAATACATTTCATATTTAAATTTCTTGGGTTTGCTGATGGTTTTCGGTTTAGCTCTTAGGAGACACATGTTCAAGTATTTAGAGAAGTGAAGAATAAAAAAAAAAAAAAACCCAAACTCCTGGCCCCAGTACATGTATCGCACTCTCTGATGACATACAACTGGGCTTTGTTTCCTATCTGGGTACATTTTAGAGCAGAACCAAAATTAGTTCTGGAGGAGAATCCTTACCCTGTTCAAAGGTCTGACTCCTCCATGTGCAGTTGGCTGGCCTACTATTCAGGCAGGTGCCTTCTCATATTCTTCAATTTCAGTACAAGGATGTCACAACTCCCCTTGTCCTGCTAAGTACTGGATAAGCACATGACTCTGTGTTCGTTCCTGATCTCTGGGTATCTGTCAGAGTTCAGGGTCACAGCGTGGAACTCACTATCATGCAGTGTGCTAAAACATGAGTGTGGAATATAACACTGATGAAAAATGGACTGGAGGAACTGCTGCCTGTTTGTTCTTCTAAATTCTCCAAACTCTGTATTAGTCTTGACCAGCAGGAAGGTGCATACTTGGGTTCCTTCTTGTCACTGGCTTCAATAGTCCTGTTACCCTCTAAGACAAGACAAATTCCACTCTCAAATTACCTGGCTGGAAGAGGAAGACTTTTTCCTTTCAGTCTTAGGGTCATTTTTGCTTTCTGTTTTACAGTCGTTCTTATCACCTGCTAAAGAGGCACCATCAGAACTGGATTTTGACCTAAGGAAAGAAAGTCCAGGGTGTCTGTAAGATAATTTTTTTTCTCAAGGCAGAGTCTTGCTGTGTTGCCCAGGCTGAAGTGCAGCAGCACAATCATGGCTCACTGCAACGTCCCCATCCTGGACTCAAGTGATCCTCCCACTTCAGCCTCCCGAGTAGCTGGGACTACAGGTGCATGCCACTATGCCCAGCTAATTTTTTGTAGAGATGGGGTTTCACCATGTTGCCCAGGCTGGTCTTGAACTCCTGGACTTAAGCAATCCACCTGGCTTGGTTTCCCAAATTGTTGGGATTACAGGTTTGAGTCACCACACCCGGCCTATGAGATACATTTTTTATGCTACTCATTAATTTATTGTCATAAGTCTTGATTATGATACTATCTTCCAAGAAAACCTGACATTTGTTTTTCCTTTCTGGATATCAAAAATCATTCATGATACTCTGAGGGCATTTACACAGCACATACTTTAGGACACTGGAATGATTTCAGCAGGCTGTAATCAAAAACTGTAGAAATAGTAACTTATAGAGGGTGAAATAACAAGTTGTGAAAACAATCATGTCATTTTAAAAGTATTTTAATCAGTATTTAAAAAGGAGTACTTGAGGCAAATTACTAAACGGTATTTCAACTGTAGTTCAATCAAAGAGTATTTTTGTTTCAGAATTCCACTAATATTTAACAAGTATTAATTGAGTGGGGCATTGTGTTAAATGTCTTAGGGCCCATAAGACAGTCTTTATCCTTCTTTTCCTTTTTGTGATGGAGTTTTGTTTCCCAGGCTGGAGTGCAGTGGTGTGATCTCAGCTCACTGCCACTTCCACCTCCTGGGTTCAAGCAATTCTCCTGGCTTAGCCTCCCAAGTAGCTGGGATTACAGGCACCCATAATGCCTGGCTTATTTCTGCATTTTTAGTAGAGACAGGGTTTCTCCATGTTGGTCAGGTTGGTCTCAAACTCCTAACCTCAGGTGATCTGCCTGCCTCGTCCTCCCAAAGTGCTGGGATTACAGGTGTGGGCCACTGAGCCTGGCCTCACAGTCTTTATCCTTAAGGTGCCTGTGTACACACGCATCAAACGCTTTTTAAAATAGGTAGTACATGATTTAGTACCAAAACAATATATATTATAGGAGTTATAGGAAGATATGGTACCAATAAGTCTATAGGCTCCATTACAGGAGGTAAGAGAAGAGGAAAACAATGGAATAATGAGGACTTAAAACGCTGGGCCCAACAGGATAAGCAAGAATTGGGTATGAGGAAAAAAAGACAAAACATCTCAGATTGGGAATACAATAAAAGTGAAATCAGAATTAAAAACAAAACCAAAAAACATGTTTGAAGTCAAATCTTTCTTTTTGTTTCTTAATAATAACTGGCTTTTGCTTTATTGTGTAATTTACACAGGACAACCCTAAAACCCACACTTGGTTTTTCTCTTCTGCCTTCGTTATTCTTTCAATAGCTCCATCAACAGAGATTATTTCTCCAGCAACACCTGGTTTGATTGTCAACCAGGACACACAGGCCCTACAAGATCCCAGCCCTCCACCATGGTTGCCTGAGCCCTCCCATTTGACTGCACCCATGTCTGTCTGTGCTGGTGCTCTGCTCTGCTCCTGTCACCCCTGAGGCATCCTTAGGATAGGAATGCTAAAAAGGCTCCGAGCCTTTACTCAGATGGGTCAACTCTGAGTAAATACAAGAGCTGCTAGGAGCCCCGGGCTGAGGACTGAGGCAGGCTGTATCTGGGTTCCATGTCAAAGAATGCTGTGATCCATTAACAATGTCTGTCATGGCAACGCCCATTAGAAGAGGGTTTTGGGAACAGGCTCAAAAAGGGAAGGAGGGTTTTGGGAAAAGGCTCAGAGAGGAACAAAGCGTGTCTGTTCCATTCTTCCCCTAGGTGGCTGTTTTGCCAGCCAGGCTGCACTGTCTCAGTGGCCAGGTGGCTGAGGAGGAAGTCTCAAGGCCACAGAGTTGCGAGTGGCTTCTCTGGGGCCTGCAAGGAATAGCACAGGCCCCAAGTTACAGGAAGGTGCAAGGGCACCCATGCTGGGTCCTATGGGGTTTATATGGCAGGCCACCTGGCATTGTCAGCTCTTGACCCTTTGGAGTCCGTCTCATCTGGGAGAAGACAGCTGGCTGGCCTCAGTGCATTAGCTGTAACTCGGAGATAAAAACATTCACCTCTGGATAAACTTAGAAACTTTCCATCCAAATGAAAAGGGTGTATCTTCTATATATTGCCAAGAAACCTAAACTGAGGACAAGGACAATTTTACTTTAATCAAGTTCCAGAATGAGGGTGCACAGCTTCAAAGAGCAGTCTGCAGCAGAAGACGCAAGGCTGTGTGTAAAACCGTGTGTCTAGAATATACCAAAGGAAACACACACCACCCCAGCGTGGCCTTTGGCGAAACCTCGATGCTGCTCCATCCAGGGGGCAGGCAGCTACCTTGTCCAGCTGACTTTGGGAATGTCGTAATGCTCCGTGAGTGTGTCCAGCTGTCTGTTAAAGTCCTCCACTCTCTGCTTGTGGGTTTTGGATGCTTTCTTCAGGATCCTTTCCATTTGCTGCTTCTCCTGCATTTTCTCAAAGGCCGCCTGGGCCAGGGTCCGCTTGTCCAGGCTGTGCCGCTTCTTCTCCTCGTTCTTTTTGTTTGTTCCCATTGCTTCCAGGAGTTTCGCTTTGTCTTTGTCCTTCTTTTTCTTCTTCCGCTTAGTCACTCCAAGCTCTGCGATGCCTTTCAGCTTCAGGGGTCCCTTTTGGACCTGCCCCATGACACTCCCCAGTCAAGTCCTCCCTACACACCATCTCCTCATGCACAGCGTAGGTCTCGTCTTTGCCAGTTCTTTGCCCGTATAAGGTATTACAGAGTGTGTTCTCAATGAAGCCCACCTTGCCCTCCTGGAGATAGAAGGGTGGTGACAGTTGCACTGCAGAGGTAAGAGGGAGGTCAGTGACATGTCCTGTAGGTTAACTAAGAAAGCTCAGGCTACTCTGAGCTCCTACTCTGCCTGACTGCTAATCACAACCCCAAGACACAGGGTTTCTCAGAACTGCTGAGCTTTAGATGCTGCTTCACTTGCTACCCATCCTTCATAAGCGCCTCTTCTTTTTCTCAAACCTTTGCACACAGTCATCCTATTCCCTCTACTTCTTTCGTAGCAATAGATCACAACTCTCATATTCTACAAGAGGCAAATCCCACCAACACATGACTCATTCACTGGGACTTAGAAACTGTTCACTGACCAACCTACCCTTTCATGAACTGTCCCATCCGTTCTCCATCCATCTATCAATAACCTTTCTTCTCCACCCATCCTCCCATCCACTCACTCATCCATTCCTCCATCTACCTATCTTCCCACACATCCTCATTCATCTACTCACTTTCCACACATTTGCCCATCTAGCCAACCTTTCACCTATCTCTCCACCAAGTCCTTCATCACTCACTAACCTATCCTCCTCTACATCTACTGACACATTCACCCACTCCATCCTTCCACCCACCCACTCACCAATCCTTCTATCTACACATCTAACCAAACATCCATCTACCAACTCAAATACCACCCATCCATCCACCCATCTGTCCATCCATCCATCCATCCATCTATTCAACCATCCATTTACCCATCCATCCACTTATCCTTCCATCCATGCAGTCACCCATCCTCCAATCCACACATCCATTAATTCATCCATGCCATTTATCCATCCTTTTATCCATCAATTCATCCATCCATTTATCCATCTGTACATCCATCCATTTGCTAACCCAATCACTGATCTATTCACTCAGCTATTTGGCTATCCTGGTGCCAAGTGTCTTTTCTATGCTTAATGATATAGATAATTTTTAGTAAGAAGTGACAGATTAAGTGAAAGAATAAAAATATTTGGCCGGGCGTGGTGGCTCACGCCTGTAATCCAAGCACTTTGGAGGCCAAGACGGGCGGATCACCTGAGGTCGGGAGTTCAAGACTAGCCTGACCAACATGGGGAAACCCCGTCTTAAATAGATAAATAAAAATAAAAATATTTTAGATTAAGTGATATGAAGAATATAGAACAGGGAGATGTGATAGCAGGGGTTGCCTATTTTAGCTCACATGATTAAGTAAAACTCGTCGAGAAAAACCTGAATAGTAAATGTAAAGAAGTGACTCATGTAAAGTTTAGATTGACAAGCAAGCTAAAAAGAAAACAAAAAACACAGTAGCTAAAGGCCCCTTTAGAATGACCTTGAGATATTCAAGGAGTACCCAGGAGGCCCAAGAGGATGTGGTGGGGTAAGTGAAGGTTGAAGTAAAAGATGGGGTATGTCATGGATGCAGTGAAAGTTGGAGAAAAGAAAGGGTATAGTGGAGAATGGGGGTGTGAAGGGTGCAGTGGGGGGTGGGGGGTGTGAAGGGTATGGTGGGCGTGGGGGTGTGAAGGGTGCAGTAGGGGGTGGGGCGTGTGAACGGTACAGTGGGAGATGGGGGATGTGAAGGGTGCAGTAGGGGTGGAGTGTGTGAAGGGTGCAGTGGGAGATGAGGCAGAGAAAGAGGAGAGCATCAACATCATGCAAAGCTAACTTATTCCTGAGATAGAGAATCTGAATTTTATTCTAGGCACAAATGAGAATTACTGTAAAATAGTGAACAGGGGAGAGACACGACTAACATTTAAAGTAACACTCTGACATCCAAGTGAGCCTAAAGTGGGGGCACAGAGGAATGGATGCTGGGTGACCAGTTCAGAAGCTACAGGCAAGAAGTGCGTGTCTGTCAGTGCCAGGCAGCACAGTGGTACCAGCCCAGGAGCACAGGTTGGGATATTAAAACAAGTATATGTTGCCTCCACCCTCAAGGCATAACCAGTTGTGTGTGTGTGAGTGCTGGGGGCCAGCCAGCAGATGATCAGGGAGAACCCCCTCCATCTGGTAGTCAAAAGCCATGCTCACTCAATGAAGACATATTCTATGAAAAACACACACAACACCAGTGTTGAGAAATACTAACCCTACACATAATTAAACACAGGTTCTTCCTTTTTCCCTTAACATCATACTACAGCATTTCCCTAAACTATAAACACTCCTTTCTTCAATAAACACTCTTGTGTATACACCTTTGCCTACATTTCTCTTCTACCCGTCTAACAATAAAAACACACACAACTCTCCTCCATCATTCAGTCCGTTAACAAGACTGTGAAGAAGATGAAAGACCCAGGTTAGGACAAGAGCAAAGTGAGGTTCAGAGAGGGTCAGCACCTCTGCGTCACAATCATTCTAACTGGGTCACGCAGCCTCAGAGTGCAGAGCCACCATGAGTGTTCTCTCCATTCTTCCCAAGCACCTTCCAAGCAAGGGATGATCCAAGTGCTTGGTGGTGACCTAGAATGGGCCCTCCCCCAAGCACGTTTTGGAGTTCAGTCATCTCAGACCCATGGCTGATTAAAACCTTTGAATGAAGAACCATGAAGACTCAACCCAGATTCTGGATTCTCAAAAATTAAAGATTCCCAGACTTCAGAGCCTGAGACTCAGGGAACTCTAAAGCTATGAAATCAGACACTTTCAGAACTAGAAGGGCCCCAGTGGGCCAGGTGCGGTGGCTCACGCCTGTAATCCCAGCACTTTGGGAGGCCGAGGCGGGCAGATCACGAGGTCAAGATGGAGACCATCCGGGCCAACATGGTGAAACCCCGTCTCTACTAAAAAGTACAAAAAATTAGCCGGGCATGGTGATGCATGCCTGTAGTCCCAGCTACTCGGGAGGCTGAAGCAGGAGAATTGCTTGAAACTGGAAAACAGAAGTTGCAGTAGCTGGGATCAAGCCACTGCACTCCAGCCTGGTAATAGAGCGAGATTCTGTTAAAAAAAAAAAAAGAAAAAGAAAAAGAAAGAAAAAGAAAAAGAGAAAAATTGAAGGGCCCCAGTGTGGTGGTCCTCAGCTTACAGGCCATAAAAATGAGGCACAGAGGGCCAAGTCCAGTGGCTTCCTCTTTGCCTAGTTAAGCCACCCTCCCTTCTTCCCTCCTGCCTCCCTCTCCCTCCCCTCCTTCATCTTCCCACCTCTCCCACACACCCCCAGTCTTCGGTGAGCATTCCCCAGCTGGTTATCCAACAGGACATGTTACTGGGCAGCTGCATGTCACGGGATGGGAGGCAGATGGGATCAATGTAGGAAGTGAAGTTCACAGGCAGGTGCAGCTGCAACATGGCAATGTCACTCCCAAAGGGGTGGAGCTTCTCAAAGTCTGGGTGGGTGATGATCTGGTGCACAGATATCTTCTGGGTGTGCTGGGTTTCGTGTTACAGTTGGGTGTTTGCCAACAGAACCTGATAGTTCTCCAGGGCCTGGGATTTGCTGGAGGAGGAAAGACCCATTTTTACCATCCTCCGGGAGTTCAGAGCAGCACCCTCTTCTTGCCACCACATGTAACTGCCCACACACCTCTGGGTCCTTCTCCCCTGACATGATTCCAGACAGCTTTGTATTCCCCTTTCTGACAGTCAAGAGCCCTCTTTTTTTTGAGACTGAGTTTCACTCTTGTTGCCCAGGCTGGAGTACAATGGCACGATCTTGGCTCACAGCAAACCCTGCCTCCCAGGTTCAAGTGATTCTCCTGCCTCAGCCTCCCAAGTAGCTGGAATTACAGGCATGCGCCACCACGCCCAGCTAATTTTTTGTATATTTAGTAGAGACGGTGTTTCTCCATGTTGGTCAGGCTGGTCTCGAACTCCCAACCTTAGGTGATGGGCCCGCCTCAGCCTCCCAAAGTGCTGGGATTATAGGTGTGAGCCACTGTGCCCTGCCATGGACCTCTTCATTTTTTGAGGCTAATGGATATTCTACTCACAACCTCAGGACATAGGGCTTCCCCAGCACACCCTTGAATCAGAGGAGCAGAGAATCCTAGGACCAGAAAAGTCCTGGACAGAGTCATCAAATCTACCTTTATTTTACACAAGAGGAGCTCTGGCTCAATTCTGGCTCCAGCCTGACCCTTCTGAAGGCTGCCTATGACCCGCTTCCTGGCCTAACCACCTTTTCTGCCCTCTCTCAGGGTGTCTTCCCCGCTGTTGTAAGCACTCATAAAGGATTTGTTCAATGTCCGGATGAATGCATGAACCTGAAGCGCTCCTTGTTCCTGAACACAACTGACGAAACTTCTGACCTTTGCCACCTTGTTCACACAGGTCAGCCACCAGGAAAGCCCTCGCCACACTCCTCCCCTTCTGGGAAGCCCCTGCAGCTCCTCATCCTCCCTCAAGGCTGTGGCATCTCTCCAGACGCCCCTGCCTCCGGTCAGCTCTTGTCACCCACTCTGCGCTTTCTCTCCTGCATCCTGCTTGTGGGAGCTTGTGTCTCACCTTCCCATAGAGACACCTTCACTTGGAGTCTTGCCACACCCTATGCCATAGAGGGTCTTGGGTGGTGTGGCACACAGGAGATGTCACAGCACCCAGTTGGAGTCTCAAAGCCACTAAGTGCCCAAGCTGACTCCCTACCTGGACTGTGATGCCTTCCTCTCCCTCTGGGTCCCTCCAACTGTTCAGAAGCTGGGCACTGAGTCAGGCTCAGGAGGGACAGAGGAGTTGCACCCTGACTGTCCATGACATTCTCCAGGGTCAGGGGGCCCCACTCTTCCCACCCATGCAGCCTGGCACAGCTCCTCCAGGCATAGAGTTTTACAGAAAAAAAGAATCGCCTGGCCGCTGGCTACATGCAGAGTCCCCAGTCCCTGCTGGAGTCTGACTCACAGGAGTGTGGTGGACACTGAAGAAAAGCACTGCTGGTGGTCGAGACAGGCACTGCCAATGCTCTCAGGCACGGCTGGGTTAAGCAGACAGATACAGGGGCCAGGGACCCCCCTGCCAGAGCTGAAGATGGAGGATCAGGAGGATCTGGGCA